TATCTGCTGACCTCCATTTGAGTACGTAACATCGATGCCATTCATTGTCTTCAAACTGCTTTGAATATTATGTTGCTGAGCTAGCACTGACTGGTGCAATAGCAACGCCAGATATCCACATGCTCAGTGTCCGTGTTACCCATGGGAATAGAGCCAAGCCCTCCCAGCAGCCTGAAATGGGAGCAGGTTTTATCGAGGCCCTGTCTTGAGACCATCCACTTTGTAGAAGCATCTTGGGAGGTCGGTCACACTGGGACAAGCCACGTGATATTGAACTGCAAAGTTGTGACAATCATTTGACATTCTTCATAATTAGAAAATATAGTTTGATTTTAAAGTGTGATTTTTAAACAAAAACATTTTTCCTTTATTTCCTAATTTGATCTGAAGTCCTAGAAGCATCAGCTTAAACTTTACACGATTACAGTCACATCACAGGGTTTTGTCCATCACCATTTTGTATACCTACAACTTCATTGCTGTGACCAACACTTCCATGCTACCCTTTAGAAGGCTGCTACAATACTCTATAGCACTGCAATAAATAAATTAATTTACAGGCTGTTATGTCCCCATGCTTGGGGACTCCTGCATGTAAGTAGAAATAGGCTGAATGTTTCTCAAATAGGAACGTTACGGTGGAGTTTCTGAACAGTCAATTGAAACAAATTTAGCTTTATTTTGAATCAAAATGAAACATTCATAAAGTCTCCCTAAAAAGTCCAACGCTTTGTTTTTCTCAAAGTGCAAAAACAAATTCATAAACTAAACATTTCACAGCATTTCAGTAGAGGTACCTATTATTGCAATTAATATTGGTAAATATTGCAAGTAACAGTAAGATAAAGTATTATATCCCACATATTTTTGAAACTGAATTTATAACTTCACAATGACAGCATTAGTATTCTTTAAAGACAGTATGGCAAACATTTTTGAAAAATATCTTTGACCACTTCTGCTCTTTGAGCACCGTGGCAGACCTTTAACGCTGAACATGAACAAAGCAACCACCTGCCAATTCTGGTCTCCATAAAGAGCCTAGGGAAATTTGTTAACGGCAATGCGGAATTCCAAGTCAGTGTTGGGACTACAAAACCATAAACAGTGAGCCTATAGTATTTACACAGCTGCAAGTTCAGGTCCAACTTTTTACAAAACTTACTTAGTTTAAACTAAGGGAACACTGATGGGATCCGGTTGTCATCCTGAGACAAATATATCATCACCTAAGATCTCCTTCAAATTGAGCCTATCTAGATCCAAGTAAAAATACTGCATTTTTGTGCTGTTAATAAAAGGGAAACACAAATAAAATGCTTTATGGTCAGATAGTTTTCTCCTTCCTATGAACAAGCACACAAAAAAATTTGGATAATATTGAAAAACAGTTATAGTTCTACAAATTAAACCACGTCATTACTTGTCCTGTCCCCTGTATACTACGACTTTTGCAGTTTTTGAGTAACACTCATTGAAGAAACTGCATCAACATAAGACAGTTAAACAGCTCTTTCAAGCAAGACGTAATTTCAGCCATTTTAGCTTAAAGGGCACAAAGGCTTTATAGCAATATTGCAGATAACTAACAAACATAACTTCTGCTGGCGTGGTGCATTCTTGCACACAGAACTTTCAAGCAGATTCCAGGACCTGCAACAAAGAGGTTTTAAATGAGACATGCGTGCAGCAGCAGGAAACTATATACCAATTGCAATAGCTTAATACAACAGGTCTTTGAAATACAGGGAAGCTAAGACAGACAAGGTATGCTCCTGTATTATATTGAAAGAACTTCCCAAGAGCAGTTGAACATTATCCCCTGGCTGCCCAAATAGGGAATACCAAAGAGGAGAAATTTCTGAAATGAGTAGACTGGTGTTCAGGTGTTGCTTTACCCTTCCTTTGCTGATATGCTCTCACTTTCCTATTTTGCTTTGCATGGGATAGAAAAGCAGAGCTTCTATTAGCATACATTTATAAATTCGGTCTCTTTTCTCTCTGCAAGTGCCAAAGAATTCCTAATAGATTTCCTTAGGTAAGAGTTCACCACCAAATTAAAATTAACTAAAGATGACAAGTTAGTAGAATATATTTGTTTAGTTTCAGCACAAAACCACATAATTGTTTAGGCCCATTTTCTTTTTATTAATAATATAAGGTTCTATAATCTCTTAACATTACAACTGAAGTTTTACAGTTAATCTCACACTAAAATGACAAACACTGTTTGGCTTTATTTGCAGAAAGTTAAATTACAACCTTGATAAACATACATTTCCAAGATTGAGAAGCAATTTGCGTTTTCTGGATTTCAGTGCTAATCTATCCCTGCCTTTGAAATTGGTTTCGGATAATTAACGTTGCTACGGAAGAACTATTTGGCCTGGCCTCTGTTCACAGCTGTAAGGCAAAGATTACACCTCTAACTCAATCGATGTAATGTAAGTCAAGACAAGAAGAGACATGTTTTTCTTTGACTGTTAAGATTCAGACCCTGGATCCATTTCTAACAGATTTTCTTCCTTCCCCTCAAAACTTTTATAAAAGTCTCTCTAAAGCAAATACATTTCACAGTCAAGCCACGCTCACTCTGCACCTTTCCTCCTTCAAAGAGAGCAGAAGCTGTGTAACTGGAGGTCATGACAAGCTTAATTAAAACTGCTTGTAACTTTTATATGGCCAAAATAGTCAAGCAAATAAAAAAAGTAATGTGTTATGCCAAGACATGCTTCTCATCTGCATGGATCAAACTCCATCTCTGAACAGGCTGCAGCTATGGGAAGTGAGTCTTTAGAAAGAAAGCAGAGAATACAGAAGGAAGGGTGGTGGAAGACTTTAGTATTAGCAAAGGGAAGATTTCTTTTAAACGGGTGTGTATCTAGGTCTCCTGAACTTGCACTACACATTTCTCTTACTTTCATTAGGAATTTAAATGTGAAATTAAAGACAGTCAGTAAAACATGTGTTTCAACTGCAGTTTCACTAAATTCATAAGATAGAAAAATATTTAGGACAACAGTAAGAGGGTGGCCATTAGAAAAAAAATATCCATTACATTCGTAGTTAATCTTTTCCTCAGAGCTATCCAGTGACATTGCTTTGGGATCCTTATAGCCTGTTATTTCACCTTCCCATAGGACAACTGACATGCAGTAAAAATCTTTACTGCATTTTAAATCACTTCATAAGCCAGTGGCTATTTAAAGGTTAGAAACACAGAGTATTAAGGAGTTTTTGCCTATGTAATTTCAATACAAAAAAAGGGATGAAGAAGCCATAGTCAGAAAATTAAGAATTGGGAAGAATGTTATAGAGCTGTGTAGTACTTTAAGTCAAAATCTTCATGAGACCAGGATTACTGAGCTATAACTACTTGGTTTAGTTCTGTTTCTGCTGTCATTCTGCAAAAAAGGCTTCTGATGCTTTCCTTCAAAATTTAGTTAGACATAGTTAGACATACACTTTCACTGAGGCACATAAACACTCCTCATATTCACCCTTCATATTTACCAGCTCCTAGAAAGGTTTCTATTTCAGAGCAATATGAGTCATCAGCAAGATGCCAACTGTGGCCATGTAGTCACCATCATGCAGCATGCGAGATGTGGCAGTCCCCTGCATGAACATGCAGATTCACTTTGCTGAGACACCATCGTGTATTTAAGGAACACTTAACCACAGTGTGAAGAGCAACTTCCCCAAAACAGACTGCACCTATTGTTTGGGTTGCTGCTGAAATATGAAATCTAGGGGCCAAAACCAAACATACAAGAGTAGATTTTTATGTTGAAATGTTGTGAAATAAAAAGACCATTCAAAATAAACCTAGCTGCATTGTAAATATCACATTAACATTCTGGTTTATGACCTGCAGATCATAAAAAGTTTTCCTTAAGCACCTTGACAGCATGCATTTTAAACTGATTTTTTTTGACCCTTCATGTTTCCTGATCATTTTAATTATAGAATTGAAATTAATCTTTAAACAACTTCAAAGTTGTCTGATATGTAGCATTTTTCAAGCATTTTATACTCTTTTTGGTATATTACCAAAACTGAGAGCTAATTAGGCAGTATTCAAAAATAGTTTAAAAACAAAAAAGCAATTCTATCTTTTTCTCCTCATTAAGGGCACTACCAATAAAAAAGGTGTCCAAACTGACACTACAGAGCTGTAAAGCAGTTGGCTAGAGAGACAGTGTCCTCAAAGGATAGTCTGTATTTTTTTCTATCTTATGCAGTCATATACATTAATTATCAAAAAGTTGGACAATTTGCTTTAAGAAAAGAACCCACCTTAAAAATGGATCATGAGCATTGATAAATACTTTTAGTTTGTTTTACCGATTAAGAGTCAAGTTTCAATGTAAAAATGCTTACTCTCATACGATACTGATCATGAAAATATTTCATTTTCTTTAAGTTAAATGGACAATTAAAATTGTGGCTACTAGTGACGTAAATGATTCATAAAGGCCATAGGAAACTGTACAAAACTAAAATGCGAAATCTCACTTTCAGGATGACAGTATGTTGTCTACTTAAGTGTTTTATTAAACTGTTGAGACTGTTTCAAAAGACAGCGCTGGGTAGTTTCATCTGAATAGCCAAAACTTTTTTTTTTTACTGAAAAAGATATTTTGCATCTCTGCAAAACAAACAAAATGGAGCAAAACCCATACACACTAGGACTGAAGTACAGATGAAGGCAAAGTTTTGTTACAAACCTGTTTTCAACATACAGTGAGAAATGTCCGTTGTACAAAACTTAGTGACTGACCTACAATTAAGATTATCCCAGCAATGCAAATACAACTCAGGACAGCTCAATCGTGCAAGATTTTCCAATGGTACTATGGTGGGAGTCTACTGAGTTTTCAGAAGTAGCTTGACTTACATTGTCTCTTTTGATCAAAGCCTACAACAGTACTTCAAGCATTTGCAGGTTGCAAGTCTGTTACATACTTAATCCTTCAGCACAGTGAAGTACTCCTTGGTGTTCTCTCATCTGTCTCCTAGCAGCTTTCCTCTAGCAAGAGGCTGGGTTGAGCAGCTGCTTCTGTAGAAAACACTGTTGTCAGTCTTTGTTGTCCTTGCAGGGGATGCTTTAGTAGGAAACATCTGGCAGTATCCAGCATTTAAAATACTGTCAGCTGTGTTGCCTAACCGAACTTGGAAAACCAAACTTGCATTTCCTGGTTAATAAGACACTGTGCCCAGCGGGCTGTTGAAGAGTCTAAGAGCATTGTAAGTAAAAATCCATAAACATTAATAGTGATGTTTACACTTTATTGGGGGGAGGGGGAACGAGGTGGCAAAAATCAACGTAAGTTACTAGTTTTTAAAGTTTAGTCTATGTTATATTTGATTACTGGGATATCAATACAACGAGAGTCAAGGAATTTCAACAGTAATTTTGAAGAAGTTTTAGTACATCATGTTGTGTAGGGTTTTATAAAAGATTTTTGTTTCCAAAGATGTTATTGGGGTCCACATATTCTTTAACAGATCTCAGCATTCCCAGGCCAACATCTGAGATGCTCTCCTTCATCCAGTGCTTCCGCAATTTGCCTACTGGAAAAACAAAAACAAAGCGTTTCAATATATGGCAGGATTCTAGGAGCCAATCAATCTTGTGACCATGAATGAATAAACACTGTGTGATAAATGCTTTTATTCAAAAATGAGAAATGTTTTGCTTTATTTGATTTATTGAGCCCACCAGACTATCAAGCTCATTAAGCTCAGCATACTCCCAGAGGAAGACTGTGTTCCACACTGTCTACTTTCTTTAGAAACTATGAAATTTAGATGAAGCTTAGGCAGAAATCACATGTTCTATTAAAATAGGGAATCAGTAGTAAGTTTTAAAAAGCCACCAAACTCATTTTAAGTAGGAAACTGAAGAGGAGATTACTAAAAAGCAGAACCCCTCACCTCGATTGCTCTACAGTAAAAACATAACTCAAAAATCAAACAAACTTAAAACAGTATTGGTTTAAATAGAAAAACATTGTTTTCTAAGGAGAAGGCTTAAAATGTAGTTTTAAATCAACAAAATACCCTATTTCATTTAAAAGCTTTTACATGGGCTGGTAATTGCACTTACCATTATGCAAGAGCTTAGCTTCCCATGTAAAAACGGATATTCACAACATGTACCAAATAGAAAGCAAAGCTGAAACACCAGCCGTTTAAGAACTCCTTTCACTAGTCTCACAATAGTCCTGTTAAATGGCCAAGTGTTCACATACTAATTAACCAAGTCATCAACTCTGATTTAACAGATCATTCAAAATAAAGGACTTCTTTTTTTCATTAAACACATTATAGCATTTAACTTGTCAGCCTGAAACACAATCCATTTGTCAGTATGATGCGATATAGTAAAGGTTTGAAAGACAGATGCTTTAAGAGTATCTGAAGCTAAATTCAAGCCATCTTTTGTGCCCTGTTCTCAGGGTAACCATCAAACTGTCATCAGAATAATAAATTACAGGGACACCTCTGGAGAACAGAGTATATTTGTTTATACCTTAAGGAATATGAGCTAGCCACAATGCCAACTGAAAAGCAAATAACATGAGAAAGAACAAAATTTGCAGTTGCTAGAAAACAACTATTAGCAGCACGCACGTCAAGAGCAAAGATTGTAACTGAAGGACAAAAGAATTTGTCATGTGGTAGGAACTGCAGTTGTATTTTGCAGCCCTGCTCAAGAGAAAAAATCCCCATCTGTAAATACATCATTACTACAATTTGACTGAGTGAGTTGATAGAGTTGAATTTTATCTAGGGATACTTTAACTATAAATTAAATTTAATATTACAAAAAATGAATCATGGCTGTGGCTTGACCATCAGCTCAAGTCACTCACGCTAGCTCTTACACAAGCAGCTGAAGAACAGTCATTACCATTCTCAACTGTTATCTGTAATGTAGTTTCAGTGAATGTGTCCTGTGGTTATGGATGTAATTGTCCTGAAAAGACTGCAAACAACTGCTCCAACAAGATGGAGCACATTAGAATCACAGCAGGATGCCCAACAGCTAGCATGCCTGCCTCTTTTACACCTCCAGTAATAATGCAATTCCACAAGGAACTGAACTACTGTCTGAGCAGCACCAAACAGTCGTTGCATATTTAATGAAGTCGCTCACCAAGTGCTGGAAAACAGAAGGTGCTTGGAGTGCATCATTAGTTCTGTCAAAGTGATAATTTACACATCTATCTTGTCAAATTTTCTATGGTTTATACTTCTGCAATAATAAATCTAACATACATTTGATTAGTGAACTGGAAAAAAAAAGCTGTACTACAGTTACCAGCAGTCCTTCACAAACATGTTCAAAAGATTTTAACTCCTTGATAACATTAGGTTGAGCCTCTGCTCCTACTGTTCATGTCAGTAAGATATACATGGATTTTTCAGCTACTCAAGTTTTCCTATTAGAGTTAAAAAGTCTTGAAGCGATCTTGCTCTTAGAACTCTAAGCTGGTCCATCCGATTACATGCAAAATAGACCAAGTGAAGGAAAGGCTCCATGCAGATGAGTGCCCTGCCTGGAAAAGCAATGTTCATATTTTTTTCACTTCAGGTTAGTGCTGACCTGTAAGTATTCTGTTCCTCCTCCATAGGACAACCCAATTAGCTTCAAGGAGGAAGAAAATGCCGTAGTAGTAAAAGATGCTACCATGAACATAAAAATAATTCCCAGTGGAAAAGTTGCTTACCTCCACTCTAAACCTAGCCAAAGAACAACTTTGGGCTCAAGGAAGCCTTAACTTTCCCAACAATAAAAGATCTCAGTTAAGCCTGATCTTGCCATGGACTAGAAAAAAAATGACCTGTTTCTAGCCTAGAGAAAGAACTTTTAGTTTTAGGCCTAGATGATGCCCTTTATACAGATCTTACATGAGAGTGCACGGAACCAGATTTTATCCAATTGTCTACCATTTACAGGCTCTCAGCTCAGTATACTTTTCTCAATTAAAAACTGAGATCAAATTCACCTGAGTCTATATGCTACATCGTAACATCATTAATAAGGTTCTCAAATCAGCAATCAATTTGTAGTAGCTTAACAAGTCACTACTTGTCAACTCGGCTATATACACCATTACACACACAATCCTTGTTGTCCCAACTGGAAACAAACACAGCCTTTCCTTCTTGCATTTCCTTCCTCTGAAGACACCTAATCTTGTATCTTAATTATCCAAGATGAAGTGTCACAGAATTAGTTTTCAAGTTTAAGTGGCAAGTGCCCTGTTCCTGAGGTGTGCTGAGCAGCCTAATGCCTCAAAACATTCACTGCTAGGAAGCCAGAAGTCCTCAATCTGAAGCCCAACCTATTACAGAGAGTACAAACACCCCAGAGTCTCCTTCACAGAAAGTACTCCAGACCAGAAAGCCAAGCAGCTTGTTCAGTAGCAACTCTCAAAGACTGTCCAACACCAATTTTATTTTTGCAGTATTTTCAAGTTTTATCATCATTACAGTCCATGTATGAAAGAAAAATATGTGAGCTGGATAAGTAATTTTTTTCCCCAGTTCAGCCCTTAGCTGGTTTCATTAGAAACGCTGTTCCTGCTTCCAGTGCCCTTTTAATCTGGTAAGGAATAAACTACGCTTTGATGAAGTGCAACCATACTCTATGCTGCTCCTGTGAAAAAAACAACCAAGCAAACACACTGATATTACATTCTCTGCCAAAAGTGACAACAGTTTCCCACGTGCACGGCTTTTCAAAGAGAAGTGCATTAGGTGGGCAGCACATACCTGCTGGCCACAAAGGCGATAAAATGAGAGCACAGCTCTCCTAGCTCATGAAACCTACCCTTGCTCATCTTTGAAAATGCATCTGGATGGCTGCAAAAAATCTGGCTGCTAAGGATGGAGGTAGCAAACAGCAGGCAGCAATTGGTTCTCTCACTTTTGGAATATGAAGTACTGGGGGACACATGAACAGTCTTGTAAGAAAAGTTTTAGTGTAGCTGATGGATCCCAGGAATAACTCTACACCCATGCAAAACAGATTTACAGCAGTGTGTGGTCCCAGTGGAAATAGACTTTAGTGGCACTGCACATGGCCCTAGACTTCCTCTGCTCCAGCCCTTTCAACTTAATGAGACAGTTATTGCAGAACAACAGCTCTACAAAAGCAGTAACAGGTCATAAGGATGAGGTTCTTCCAGCTGTTGCACACTCTTCCTGAAGCTAGTTGCGTCTACAGAAAGCATCTCTACAATCTCGGAAATTGCTTAAGGGGTTGTAACTCTTCTAGGGAGAACTCCACAATACTGAGAAAGGTCAGTGCAATAATCTAATGCTGTAGTAGTGCTGGAGTATATTGGACCAGTGTGTCTGAAGTCTACTACTACATAATTAACACTTACCATCACTGTAACATCTGGCACATTTTCACCTGATCTCCAAACAAATTAAGTACTTTCAAGTTTGTGTTGATGAATCAGAAAGTCCTTTCATTTATCCAGTGGAAAAGGCACTGAGGATGACTATTCTATTAAGACTTTTAACAGACCAAGAAGGAAAATTGTGTTATTATATTCACATAAGGTTACTCTGTGTCTGACGAACGTCAGTTTAAACTCATTCCGATCAGTTGAGCAAGCTTTAGTTTTAAGATGAAAGTATGATCAGTCTCCAGCGCTTAACTTAAAGGAAAGATGCTTTTCTTGTGTAGAGGAGAAAAGAATGTGTTCAACTGCCTCCGTAGGGAATCCTATAATTCAGATTTTGTAGTTTGTGTAGGTTAATTACTGCAGTGTATAGCTTAATAAGCCACAGCATCTTAATGATGCCAAAGAATTACAGTGAATTGTGATGTCAAACATGCAATTGAATGCAAGGTGAGGTGTGGTGTGTTTTTTTTTCTTTTAAGGTTGGTTGTGTTGCGTTTGTTTCTTTTAGTTTTCCTGCATAAACTGCCAGGAAATTGATACTATACCTAAACCTGTGGATCCTGGGCTACATTAACCTTTATTCTAGTCAATCAGCCTAGAAAATGGAAGAAAATTAGTTCTATTATGTTAAGTAGCTAAATGGTGGTATTTTCTTCAAACCCACAAGCTGATAATTGTTTCCTTAAGTAGTCAGTCTTAGTTAGAGCATTCCCTGCAAGGGAAACAATCTATCATTAATTTTTTACACTGTTCCTTAGTTTTATGTGGGTGGTTAGCTTGGTAATACAAAAGGGATCAGGCCCAAACCCAGCCAGCTCTCCTCTGATGCTGCACCCTAAAGGGGTTATAGTTGTATTTATACACCAGTCATATCTACTGATACTTCCTCAGCATGTTATTTCATGTATACAAAAAAGGATGTATTTTATGAAACAGGAATTCAAGAATGCAAGGTGTGACAAATAATACGGGTGGTTTTGGGGCTTGCCCTAAATGATCAGAAGTATCATTTATCTAAACTTAAACTTGTATCTACAGGAAACTGTCATTCCTAATGCTGCTTTTTAAATGCTAAGTTTCTAGAAACTAACTGTGGCTTTAGCAACCCTTACTTATGTGACTCTCAAATCTACAAATACTCACTGGCCAGAAAAGCAGAAGGATCAAAGCTGTGTTCAAAGATGTACACTACCCCTTTCTAAGTGCAGGACATAGTCACAGCATGGTGAAAACTGTAATCAAGACTAAAATCTCATGTAGAAAATGAAGACGAGAAATGCAACAATTTGATATCTAACACCTGAATACCTTTTCAAAAACTTTTAAGTCACAAATTATGTCATAGCATTAGTTAAAAGAGATAAAGAAGGCATAAGAAACCGCTTCAAAGTCACACATTAAAAGCTACTGTAAAACCACTAGTAAAGCCTTTCAGCAGTTTGTTCACAACAAATTTAGAGAAGATGATCTACCACATTTAGACAAGACTGCCAGGATCATAAAAAAAATAATCTGATCGCCTCCTCTACAAAGATCAATTTCTGATGCACTGGGGAATGGCTGAGTTCCCCCTGCATAAGTGTCTATCTGATCAGCTACGTATTTTGAGTGTATTTTTATAGCAACATATGTGCCTCAGATTCTTCTCAAATGTAAGTTCTGTTCGTTACATAATCAAGAAACATCTTCGAGTGTTAAACACTAACATTAAAGTAGGAAAACCATTCCTGACACTTACCAATTAGATTTAAATATCTGAAAGTCAAGAGTGACAAAGACTTCAAAAAGAAAAGACAATTTGATTAAAAGGACAAAGTCATTTAAGTTGCAGTATCATAGAAATTATATCCAGATTTATAAAAAAAAAAAATCCAGATATTCTACCCCAAAACACAAGTAATTGTTACACTGAAAGGATAAATTAATTACACAGATGCATATGTCTGGCTTTGCTACAGCTTCTTGTGTCCATGAGAAGCTTGCTTTTAAAGCCTGGTATTGACACATTTCTGCAATTTCTTTGTTGGAATATTGCTGTTCTCACGTATTGCAAGGTGTGATCTTTATGTAATCCATTCACAAATAAAAGTTATGCTTCTTACAAGCTTTAAGTCTCAATAGTCGTTGCAGGAGGGGATCTTCTCACAGTATTGCTACCTTTAGTGAGTTTTGCCTAAAAGTTACAATATTTTTCACTAGCCTGGAGGGAAGTGAAGAGAGAAGAGATACTGAGGTTAAAATAGAATCCAAAGTAAAATCTTTCCGAAGCTACTCTTCATAAAATTGAAAGTATCATTATTTCAGTTCTCATTCAGTTCTTGTAGCTATGTGTCTACCTGCAGTTAGTACTTCACCAGATGTAAAGTAATTTAGAGCTTCACACATCTCAAACTGCCATATATGACCACTTCTTCACTCAAGGAGTGCACGAAGCTTGACTTAAACAGGCTTTGTATTTCCTATAGCCTCAAGTCCCAGACTACATCTGTTTTCTTTGATACACAAAACCAGAGTTAAAAATAGCTCCATTTATCACACTGTGATTGTAGGCAGACAAACCAGCCTGTCTGTTTCCAGATAGTGAAAACAACTGTCATTAATCACAATTACAAGACAAATTCTAAAAGAAAATACTGGTGCAATTTCTTTTACCACACACAACAGACCAGTCTTAACAGTGCTAAGAGTGACAAGACCTGAAGGTCAGGAAATAAAACTGATACTATTAGGCTCATTCTCAGCAGCACATTTACTAAGCACTGGAAAAAATGGATCTTTAATATCGTACACAATGATCTGCCAGACAAAAGCAGAAAATATTTATTAGTATAAGAGGCAGTCATGCATACAACAGGAGCATAAGAAACCTAACAGAAAACAAGTTTTCCATATCTGTGGAGTCAGAAAGTTCAAGTGTGTAAGGGTTTGAAAATGCTACATAACAATTTTTTTTTTCTTGTTCAACATATGCTGTAAGCAAGGTTTCATATGGTGATGGCAAATACATCCAAGCATGTGACAAGCTCCAGCTGCATGTGAGTTAATGGATTAAATACTAGTCACAGTAAAATACAGCTGCCACAGCAGGGGAGAATACAATAGTACTTTCAAGGGGGCAATTCCACATCCCATATGCAAGATTTGAGCAGTCCACTATACTACCATATTAAAGATTTAATCAGAGAACAACAAGAGCATATTTAACAAAAAACACTGAAACTGTTTTTACTCATGTTATCATCACCTACACATCTTTCAATATCATGATTACTAAAGCAGAGTCCATTTCAATTTCTATCAGAGCTAGATGCCTGAAAACAGTCCTAGCTACACGTTTCAACTCCAGGAAGTCATCAACATGTTTTAAAGTACAACTTCTCCCCTTCAGTTTGCCCCACATAGAGCTTTCTTAGAATAACAAAATTTTAAGCCATTAGATTTCCTCTTTGCTCTTATTTCTGGGGCAAAACAAAGCCCCAAGACATGGAGAGAGGAAAAATGCATTAAGTTAACCAGTTTAAAGAAGCTACCTACACAAATCAAACAGACTTCACAACAAGTCTTCTGACATCTGAGTATACAGCATTATATAGGACACATGAAATCCCAATATTTGGGAAAAGCATATGTAAAGCATCAGGTATATGAAGTATCACTTATACATTACATCAGTTCTTAAACTTAATATTAGAGCACAAAATAGCTTGCAAAGAGGCTAGTAACTCAGGACGAATAATTCCCAAACTCCAAGAGAGGAAACTGAATAATCAGAAGACAGCAGACAGCAAGCCAGTAATATCAATACTTACGTAGTATCAATCACACAAGAAATGGTAGATTGCAACATAACCCAGTTTAAAGTCACTAGCTCTTTTATGCAGATGCTGTCACTAAGTGCTCTGGAATTAGGGCTAACAGCATTCACCTAGCCACAAGGGACACTAAACTGTCTTAAAACTGAAATTCTCATTCAAGGTCTTTGTAACTGAATATAAATCTACACAAGGCTCAGTAGAAGTTGCTTAAGACAAACTGATCAACTACATTTTCACGTTCTCAGTCTGTACACTTCCTACCAAAGGTCTGAAGCTGGTGCTCACAAACACACATTAAGTGCTCAAATCACTTGACATCAAGCAAACTAGGTTTAGGGACACTTCTGAAAGTCTAGAACACACGTGAGAAGTTTTCTCCCCCGCCTCCCCATCTGCAATTTCAGTTAATGCCTGTGAAATATTTTTCAAAGTTCTATTACAAACTATTTTATGTACTCATGAACATTTAGTAGTATGAAAAAGGTTAATTAGACTGACAACATTTACCTCCATGGTGATGTGACAGACTTCCTCCATTGGCAAGTATTTCTTCTCTAGCAGCCCTCTAAATTGGAAAGATAAGGTATTTATTCATCAGCAAATGCACAAGATGTTTGATGTTAGTGAAATGCTCGCTGATGTAAGTTGTACTCGTTTACACAGGTACATGAAAAGTTGCAGAATTAATTAGGGTACACAACACAGGTAAATATTTTCATTCAAGTCCGCAGGTGTATTTAAGTGGGGATTTTCCAAAGAAACATTATAAAAGCCAAGACATTTAAAATGGCATCTGTTACCACAGATCTATTATTCCAGTACGGAATATTCTGGATCATTTCCTCCTTGCCAAAACTAAAGTAGTCTAGTGGCTGGGATGCTCATCTAGAAGATGGTCAAGGGCCTACTGAAAAGGAAATTGCAATAAAGAAGTTTTAAAACAGGCTCCCCAGAGTGATTCAAGATCCTTATTCAGACCAGAGTTTAGACCCAGATCTCCAAGATTCTAATCAAGGAAGTGAGGTACTTCACAAGTAGCAACTCTTACATGGGTAAAGTTTGTGGCAGAAAACAAAGTTCAGATTTTTGTCAAGAAATATTTAAACACTTTGAAGCTCTAGAATCTTCTTTCCCATCCAGCTCTGACTAAGAAGTTAGACAGCTTAGAAAGTTGTAACAAAGAAAGCTTTCCTAAGCACAAACACTAAATGTTTTTAAAAAAAAGTGTGGTTTTTTTTTTTTAGGAATAATGTATATAACCATACCTATGCAGTTAGAGACTTTTTCACTCTGCCACAGAGTGCATATACTTGGTTGGCAAACTCACTTTGTTAGATTAAATTTAGTCACCTGCAATGGAACACATGTATCCAGGTGATCACACTGCTAACTAATTCCAATAAATGGTAATATCTAAGCATTAATAAAGTTCAATTAAATAAGCACTCAAATACTACATTCTCCAATGCCCTAGATTCAACAGCACAGAAGCTTCAGAACTTGTAGATAAGACTTCACATTCACTTGCTAGGGTCAAGAGAATTTTCTAAAGAATAAAGCACGAGAAGAATGATATCCTAGTTACAAATATAGACCATTTCTTCACAGTCTTATTAGGAAATTTCTGGTGCTGATGCTTTAGCATATGAACTAAAAGGTAGAATGAAAACCAGTTTGGCCATAGTCTAAGTGTTACATCTTCAAGGTAACAAGGATATTAGTTTCCCCTAACTAGGTAATATAGTGTTTCATCAGCCAAAGAGTTAAAGCAGAGAGTTATTCTGGAGCTTTTCAGCAAAAGGTAAAGCAGCTTACAACTGGTCTAACACAGTAGACTTAGACCAGCACTTATCCAGGCCCAAAATAATAGAAGTAACCACAGCAGTTAATTCTCTGAAATAGCATGAGACACACCCTCACATTCATTACTCCCTACGTGCAGTATCATTAATAAAATATTGTCTTGATAGTCTTACTGTATATTTTAAAGACTAATTGAGTATTGAGTTAAAGAAGTAGCTCTGTAAATAACTAAGGAAGCCTTGCTTCCCATGGGTTTGGTTTTGTGGTTGATAGTTTCTGCCATCCATGAACAAACTCCAGTTCAAGCTTTCCTGTACTTTAGTCTTAAGTCTTCATTTACTGATGTCTAAAATAGTCACCTTGGAGCACAACTACTTGGTGCACTACTGGAGCTGCTAATGATGAAAGCTTTACAAACAGACATTTGAGATCTTTCCTGGAAAATTCAGTTAGCTTGGCCAGTGGATTCACTGTATATTATTAGAGGACATCAGTTTCTCTCCCTCCCCCTTAACTATTGTTCTCATATACACATTACCTCAATTTGTTCATAGACATGAATAGGATCACTAATTCCTCTGTAGTTAAAGGCAAAGTAGAAGTAGACACATGCACCTGCATCATAAGTCTGTGTCACCCTGTTAAAGAAAACTGCATTAAAAACAAAACTTTACGGTATTTAAGCCAGCCCCTATGTGACATTACACAACTCATGAGGTTACTTATGAGTAAGGTTAACTTACTCACGAGGTTATCTTACTGAAAAAGATAGCATCTTTTTTTAAAATAACTTTGTATCCTTTTTCCTCATACTTCATGAGTGACTCAATGCTCTGATTGAGAGTTGAAGCTCTTAAATAAGTCATTACTCTTGTGCATATAAGCAAGAGTAAGTGTCAAGACTAATCAAATGCTACTAATCCCTTGAATTACTCACTTCTACATGTAATCAGCTTACAGGTTAAAGAGGAAAGTCAAGATTACTAGTGTTTGTAATATCATTAATAGATGCACTTTACCTACTAGCTAGCTAGTTTTAACAACCTCTTCCTTAGTTCTCTTACTAATCAAAGATTCAAGAAAAATTATTTAAGCTATTGCATGGTTTACCTGCAGGTGGAAAGAGGAGCAAACTGAACACCCTTCTCTTTGCATTCTCTTACTATTCTTTCCTTTACATTCCTACAAAGGTCCAAAACTCTGTAACAGAAAAAACACATTAAAACATAAAAAACTTAGCATATGATTTTATACAACTCCATAAAAATCCACAACTTCAGCTATCTTTTTTAAAAATTATAATCCAATAGAACAGAAGATTGCCCTCTAGAACTAGTTTTAAGTAGATCAGATGTTGTCCCAAGAATAAAACGGTCCTCATCATTATGACTTCACTAGTAGTGCTTTTTCTGTACTTCTGAATAGCAAGTTTACTCTGAAGCAGAGTATGTAATGAAAGCTCTTTCCATAACGACTAGGAGTCAAAAGTGTTCAACAGAAAATGGAGGTTACCCACTCCTGTATGCCTTCACCTACTTTCTCAGCAAAACCAGCCTCAAATGTCTGGCAAAGTAGTTGACAAATACAACTCAGAGTAGGAAGCTTGAGAACTCTAAGGCCTTGTATACTCTGCTAATAACCAGACCTTTGGTATGTTGCAAGGCTAAAACTGGAGATACTCCAGCTGTGTACTAGTCTGCCAGCTTGAAAAGTTATCGTTGTAATATGGCAGTGAGCTATTAAACTTTGTCATAAGCCATACTTGTTTTGCTTTTTTTTTTTTAAATTTCCAGGGCAGACCAAGGTGCATCCAGAGTGCTGGAACAATTGAAAGAAATCACTGTTTTTCAAATAACCATTTCTTTAGTTGTATGTTCTCCCACAAAGGCCTACAGTGCTATACTATACAATTCAAATTTTTAAGACATTTTACAGATTTAAAACTACTTTGCAGATTGACAGAAGTAACACACAAGAGAAATTTATCCATTTAATGAATAAACAAGTAAAGCTAAACATTTCATTCAGCTATCTTCAGCCAGTCAGGAACAAGGTAGCTGACTGATTTATGGAAAATTACATAGTTCTTGTGAGTCAAAGTAGAAAAAGGTTTTGAAAGCACTTGCTTTGGTGAGGACAATTTCAAATATTTTCTTAAATTCTTAGATAAAAAGTCATGCTCTGCTAAAATGAAGAGGCAAATCAAATTGGTGACTAAGCAGTTAGCATACTTCAAGATCTACAAAACTAAAGTAAAATAAAGAGCAATTTGGCTTTAAAATTGTCCACAAATTTCTGCCACTCATTTAAGATACTATGCCAATCTTCAAGGCAGAGGCTGGAACTTACCATTGCCACTAAATTCAATAGCAAGCCAGCTTAAGTCATCACACTTTGCACACTTTCCACTTCTTTGCATTAAATACTGTAAAGCTTTGATTCAAATCACTTTAGATCCTCTATAAGAGGTTTCTGGCTTACCAAATGGACGAAAGCATTCAAAATGATTTAATACATTAAACTCTGTTCTGGTCAAGTGTTTCTCAACTATAGCCAACTGACAAAATAAGCTTAGCTTTATCTTGGGCAAAAGTTATCTTTTCAGTTCTTTCATTTCCCTGCATTACCAGGGAAAGAAAAAAAAATTATTTATAAGTCTTGAATTTGTTACAGTAAGCAAACCTAAGTAGAAATATTACTGAATGCTTGCCTACATTGCATTTACAAAATCCTGATATGTAATTTACTAGCAACTTTAGCAAGAACACACAGGTGCAAGACTGAGGCACATCATCAGGGACCCTCCAATACACACACAGCCTAAATTAAATTGAGTTTCCTCATGAGCATGCATGAGTCAGGAATAATTTGAATGAAATCAAATATAAGTTTCAAGCAATTCTAAAGAATAATCACAGTTTACCTATCCCAAGGAACAGATGTCTCAAACGATTCTCCTATTACATAGTAATCCAGGCCCAGGTCCTAATAAATAGAGAAAGGAAATTATCAGTAACATTTAGCATCAACATCTGGGACTCCAGTGTATGCTACACAGCTAAAGTTGAGCAACTTTAGTTGGTTTGTATGAGAAAACAGAAAGTCTATTTAGCAAAAATATTCATCTGTCCCAGTGACATTAGTTTATAATTATGGAAATAGGGTAGCTCTTCAAAGACACAGATGACAAAAATTTTGATGTCATGGCTATAGTGAGACAACTTGTCAGACTGTCAGTATGCCTACACTAATCAAATATTTGTATCACTATAGCATCAAGCCAAAAGCTCCACTGTGCTCATCAATATAATACCTAGTAGAAACGTTTATTTGGAATGTCATTCCTATGTAAAGATAAACATTTTGCCCATTCTACATGTAGCCTGCTGAAGTGAAGGGAAATTCAGGGATTTGTCCCAACTATACAAGTGAAGTAATTCCTAGCACTCAGAACGTGCATACTATTCTGAAAAAAAAAAATCTCTCAAACAGTAAGACTACAGTTCATAAGAACAGCTGCAGCAGTTCAAACTAAAGGTCCATTTGTCCTGGAGTTCTGATTTGAACTACAGCCATAAGCAGGTGTCCACAGCAGAGTAAGAACTGAGTGAATACAGGAGTATTTCAAGTACTCTCCCAGCCTCTGATTACATTCATCCTGTAGATTTATAAGCCTGATCTCGTTCACTTTGCAACTGCTAGTGGATTCTTCAATCTAATTTTCTCTACCCTTTATTAGAACCTATTTTCTTAACAAGCACATAAATTAATGTTTTATGGTGTTTTGCAGATGAAGTTCCATGAATAAACACTAGTCAGAAATGGCAGAGATACAACCTGGGAGAAGTCGAATGAGATCACCCAAGGCAACCTGCATTTAGATTTCAAAGAAAGCACCTTCAAAAAAAGACATCTCTGTTTTGTCATATTAATTAATGGAAGTTTTAGCAGGTAGACAAAAGGTGACTTACCCGAAGGTAAGCGATGACAAATGTCAGCATATATCCTCTCTGTCCATTATCTTCTCCTGCTGCCAAGCCACTGCAATTAACAAGAATTTAATTACTTTCCAGCAAAGTACTCACCGGTTTCCAAAAAGAATTAAAAAAATAATACTTTGATTATCAAACATATGTGCAAGTTTAGCTGTCTCTAAACTGTGTTACAATAGTTGCAAATAGCAGGGTCTGGTCTTCACTAGAAATGAAGTTACTTCAGATCAGACCTTTAACTCTTGCGTTTCTTTTTCATTCCAAAACCTGAAGAGAGACGAACAATAACAAAACATTTGATGTGATCTTAAAATAAGAGTCTTCAAACATCACAAAAGAGCAGGGGAAACAGAACTAGACACAGTCTATTCTTGATGTTAATTTACAGGAATATGTGTAACTACATTTTTAAGCATGTTGGACTTGCGCGCTTGTGAGCTCACAGGTCATGAGAGCAAGACTACTGACTTAAGATCCCAAAAGCATAAGTGACATGAATGGATAAAAAAAGACACAGCACCCGTGAGGAGAACGAAGCCTTGCTTTCACTAATCTATCAAGTCAGGAGCACTACGAAAGTGTGTGTTTGTTTTGGTTTCTGAGAACAAAGTGCTATGTATCTGTAATCAGCCTTCCTAGAAATACCTATAAATCAGAGAGAGGTATATGGTGGTGGGGTGGAAATCAGACATCCTGAAGGACAGAGTTAAAGCATTTTAGACCATTAAACAGTTCAGCATTTTAGAGCAGATTAAACTATTAAACACTTAACTAATAGCCTCAACTGAGCAGCAGACAGCACTGTCTTCTAACAAACCCAACAGACAAGTTTCTCCCCCTTATCAATACACCATCTTGAAATACCAAAATACAAGGGGATTCAGTTGAAACCTTTTCTTGCTTACAACATTAAAATAACTAAAATGCTCTTTAGGATCAAGAGCACTTATTCTTATCACTGAATGTTAGCAAGCTGCTCATGTGAAATCTCAGTTTTACATGCTATTTTTAGTAGTACAATGAAAGCACAATGAAAACACAAATTTCAGAAAGAATAGCCTTGAAATGGATAAAATAATACTTATGTATATTTGAAGAGTTGAGACTAATACTAGCAAAACTTTTTTAAGAAAGTATACTCTTGACAAATCACACTTTTAATGATGGTTTTCAATCACGTTTAATCAAACCATAAGGACAGAAACTACGTGATCATTACTCAAGCTGCCACTCCAATGAATGTTGTCTGTTCCTGTGTAAGAACGTGTGGAGGACAGACATTCACTGCATTCCTTTAACTAAACACAAACTCCTCTTTCAAACAAGCTTCTTGTATTCATATGCTCACATCAATTCTGCAGATTTTGCAGATTATGATTTTGTCTTCCCCTTCTGCAGTTTCAATAGAGTCTAGTATTGCAAAACAAGTAGCTTCCATGCCTATAAGCAATAACAAGGGGTAGTTTCCATTTTAACATCAATTCTATATTTAGTCAAACACTTATTTTTCTGCAATACATAAACAGCTGAAGTTTTTCAGTAAAATCATCTATTAAGAGTTACCACAAGCCACATTTATCAAAGAGAACACTCAGTAGCTTATTGCCACTTCAAACTAGTAAACTGAGAACATATCCATACAGTAATCCCTATAAAAATATGGTAATCCTATTTTTTCCTGGACAGTTAACTCCTAGCTTCATACGAAAAAGTTCTTTGAAAAGCATACCCGAACTTGGTGGCAATATCATAAACTTGCTTTTCATGCTGAAGAACCTTCTCTCTGTCACCCTCAAAGAGCAAGGTAGCTACACAAAGTACGTTGGGATCAAATCCTTTAAACTGCAAGGAGAGAAAACTTTACATTATGTCATAGCCCATGTGGTAGAATACAAGCAACAAGTTTTTACTTTTCAAATATACAGCAGGAAAGATTAGGAAAAAAAATTCTTTCAAAAATTTATTCCCAAAACAATTAAGTTTTCCCTTGACAGGACAAACATTCACAAACCCACTGAAATAACAGATTATATCATCACCTTTTTTTCTCCTGTTAATAAGCAGAATAGCCATAACAGTTGTCTACCTATGCTGAAGGAGGAACAAATCTTAATGGTTTGAACAATAGGGAGGGAACATTTATACTCCATCAACTATTCCTGTATAGAAGCAGGAATATGACTTATGACCATAAACGTCGCTGCTCTCAAAACAGTTGTACCAACGTGCCACAGAAAATCTCTATGCTGGGAAAAGCACTCTAGAAGAAAAATAACTTCTCAACTTGTGGCAGGGAGCATATCCCAGTAGAAACAGGGAGAAAACTATTAAAGGTTTAATAGTAATGCAGTCAGGCTGTCTGTATGGCTTTGTATCAGGAGTAACAGCAAGAGTCCTATCTTCACAACTGGATACAGAAAAATAAGAGTCTTACTTGTCTTCTACATAACTTTTTTTATTAATTAGCTCCAGTGAACAACCACTACTGAACAGATTTCAGAAGGAATGGAGATGAATATAAAGTTGCAATAAAGTTTAATTACTTTTTCCACAGTTAAAAAGGGTGAAAATTTGTGATTTAGAACAACATGCTCTTAATATGTATATTGACCAGCAATTAATTTTATAAAGCCTTTCCCTTTCCAGTGTCATTCATCTCTTCCAATCTCTACTCTGCTTGTGGTAACTTGTTACTTAAGCACCAAGCAAGGTTATATGAAGTTACATTAATAGTCAAGAGATTCAAATTAATCCTTTATGTGCAACAGCTATGCTGAGAAAAATCCCAGTTGGTTGCTGTTCCTTTATTTGTTTCCTAACTGAATAGATTAATTGTACTGGAAGTTAACTGAAAGTACTAGGGAGGGTCCAAAAAACCAGCAAGGAGGCAAAGTATTTTGAGGTGGCTCACTCGTCCAGCCAATGAGCTCCAATCTGCATGGTGAGGCCCAGAGACATCCAAATTAGCATTTCTGAAAAGGATATTGCATCCTACCACCCCAACGAAACACCACCATGAAAACTACTGTGAAACAATATACCTCCCGAGGCAAAGGATCTGTCTTCTCCCTTAGTCCTACAAAAACAGCATAGCTAATGTAAATAGAAAGAAATACTTTTATTATAGTGATAAACTCCAAGGACAGAAACAAAGGTCTATTAAGATGCTATTTACAGTCCCTTCTTGTTTTAGAACCACTTGTATTTCATCTAGCATAAATCCTTTCATCTATTCTGCCATCTTTTGGCTGTAATGTTCAGGTAACACCTTACAGTTCACTTTAGGAAGCACTGGAAGAACTAGCTACAGAGTGAACCAGTAGACAAACAATACCGAGAGCATTCATGTACCAGCGAACAGTCCCAAATTACATGGAGAAGTAAACCAGAAAGACTTTGTCCTTATTCTCTTAAGCGGTATCAGTTAAACAACTACTCCATTCAATAAAAAAGATAAATGAATTGTTAGTCTGATGTGTTCAGTATTCTGATAGTTTGGTGGCAGGATTTAGGGGGGTTTGGTGTTTTTTGTTTGTTTTGTTGGTGGGTTTTTTGGGTTTTGTTTTGTGTGGGTTTTTTTTTTAAAAAACAAGGAGCAATTCACAGATGAAATAAGTTTAAGATAGATTTGAGTATCTTGATCCCAGGAACACCTGCAATATCAGTCTGAGAGTCATTAAACTCTCTACTCCTTTCTCTATTCCTACCTCCCATCCCAGCTGGGAGCTTCTCTGAAGTAGCAGTTGCTTATATGCACTCACCAGGGAACTAAGCCCTGACATAAGAGCTCCAGATTAGTCACCAACCTGGAATCTCTGCATCAGTATTACATAGCATTTCTGTTATTTCTCCACATGTTCTTTTTTCTGCTGCAGAGCTGGAAAAATCGGAATTGGCATACAACACCCCTTGGTGATACAACATCCCCGGTGATGCTTGTTACCAACTACAGGAACAGTAGATATTGCCAACTAGGATTGTTTCAAACTGACAGCAATCTTGTTACCAAAATGTTTACTACTTGAGATATTCCTGCACTGCAGAAGATCAGGGAGGGAAGGCAAAATAATTTTTGGGCTCTCTCTAAACTTAATTGGTATTGCCTAGCAAAAGAAATACTAAGACACATGGCATTTTCTACTTCAGTAGCATAAGAAAAAGCAGCAGAACCAACACTAGCCACTGTCTCTCAAGTAAACGCACTCCTTGAAGACACTCAATATTACCAGATCAGAACAGGATGTTTACCTCCTCCTATCTAACAGTTACCTAAATCCAGCATGATGTGATTTCCTACATTTGAATATCCATGTTTGCAGGAACTCTAGTCAGCTAATTTAGAAGAAAAAGAAGAATCAGTCACAAGGCAAATTATTGGAAACACATGGTTTTGATGGATGGACCACTCGGTGGATAAGGAATTGGCTGGATGGTCGCACTCAAAGACTTGTGGTCAACAGTTCAATGTCCCAGTGGAGGCCAGTGATGAGTGGTGTTCCTCAGGGGTCAGTACTGGGACCAGTGCTATTTAACATCTTTGTTGGTGACAGGGACAGTGGGATCGAGTGCACCCTCAGCAAGTTTGCAGATGACACCAAGTTGCGTGGTGTTGTGGACACGCTGGAGGGAAGGGATGTCATCCAGAGGGACCTTGACAGGCTGGAGAGGTGGGCCTGTGAGAACCTCATGAAGTTCAACAAGGCCAAGTGCAAGGTCCTGCACGTGGGTCGGGGCAAGCACAAGCACAAGTACAGGCTGGGCGGAGAATGGATTGAGAGCAGCCCTGAGGAAAAGGACTTGGGAGTGCTGGTGGATGAGAAGCTCAACATGAGCCGGCAATGTGCGCTGGCAGCCCAGAAACCAAATCATATCCTGGGCTGCATCAAAAGTAGCGGAGCCAGCAGGTCGAGGGAGGTGATTCTGCCCCTCTACTCTGCTCTTGTGAGACCCCACCTGGAATACTGCCTTCAGCTCTGGAGTCCCCAGCACAAGATGGACATGGAGCTGCTGACGTGGGTCCTGAGGAGGGCCATGAGGATGATCAGAGGGCTGGAGCACCTCTGCTATGAAGACAGGCTGAGAGAGTTGGGACTGTTCAGCCTGGAGAAGAGAAGGCTCCGGGGTGATCCAGAGGGACCTTGACAAGCTGGAGAGGTGGGCCTGTGAGAACCTCATGAAGTTCAACAAGGCCAAGTGCAAGGTCCTGCATGTGGGTCGGGGCAATCCCAAGCACAAGTCCAGGCTGGGCGGAGAATGGATTGAGAGCAGCCCTGAGGAAAAGGACTTGGGAGTGCTGGTGGATGAGAAGCTCAACATGAGCCGGCAATGTGCGCTGGCAGCCCAGAAACCAAATCATATCCTGGGCTGCATCAAAAGTAGCGGAGCCAGCAGGTCGAGGGAGGTGATTCTGCCCCTCTACTCTGCTCTTGTGAGACCCCACCTGGAATACTGCCTTCAGCTCTGGAGTCCCCAGCACAAGATGGACATGGAGCTGCTGACGTGGGTCCTGAGGAGGGCCATGAGGATGATCAGAGGGCTGGAGCACCTCTGCTATGAAGACAGGCTGAGAGAGTTGGGACTGTTCAGCCTGGAGAAGAGAAGGCTCCGGGGTGATCTTACTGCAGCCTTCCAGTACTTAAAGGGGGCCTACAGGAAAGCTGGAGAGGGACTTTTTACAAGGGCATGTAGTAAGGGGCAATGGATTTAAACTGAAAGAGGGCAGATTTAGATTAGACATAAGGAAGAAATTTCTCACTCAGAGGGTGGTGAGGCAGTGGAACAGGTTGCCCAGAGAAGTTGTAGATACCCCATCCCTGGAAGTGTTCAAGGCCAGGTTGGATGAGGCTTTGGGCAACCTGGTGTAGTGGAGGGTGTCCCTACCCATGGCAGGGGGGTTGGAACTAGATGATCTTTGAGGTGCCTTCCAACCCTAACCATTCTATGATTCTATTTAATATAAAAGCCTAGGTGAAATAATTTTAGCACCAGATAATTCTGGATTAAAAAGGGTATTCATTCGGATGAATTCTAGAAAAACAAAAATACAATTTATATGGGCAATTCAAGACAAATATCTTGAGGTTCTCCCGAAATTCTAGTCCACTGTAACAACAGAGGAGATTATTCCTTAACAAAATCTGGGAAGAAGAAAAGATACTGAAGTGTTATAGCCTCACTCGATCAGCATTAACTGATGATCGGCAGTCTGCAAGCTAGATAAATTGGTTCCAGTCTTGCTCTGCCACCAACTCGGTTAGACACGGCACATTAATCTCATCTATAGATATGACCAGTGAGAACAGCTCCCATGGAATAACTTGTCAAACAGATAATCTCATTTTGGATTAAACCACCTTGAGAATCTCAAGTTAGAACTGATACTACAATGTAGGATCTGTTACACTCAAACTCAGCTGCATTAGAGACAGTATACAAAAGAAAATCTGAAATTTTATGAATAGCATGCAACTTCCGAACGGTATTAAGCCCCAAAAGTTACCTTCGTGATGTAGAATTTTTTCAGTCCATCCAAAAATGATGTAAAAATGGAAGCAACTTGTGGTTTAAGGGCATGACCTTTGGCAAAGAGTGGAAAAAGGTGTGTTAAGGCAAACAGTGCTCTTAAAATTCCTACTTCAATGGGCAAATAAAAAAAATAGCTTGGTAGTCAGACCTGTAAGAATCACTTGGAGCACTTTTGATTATTATAATTAAAGAGACTTCTCTCTAATAATTTGGAAGACTATTTAAGAAAAGGTTTTCATTACTTTTTTAAAAAAGGCATACATACAACTATGCACAGATATTTCATTTGACACTAAGGCTGACCTAGTTTATGTCTTCACAAGTACACGGCACATGGAAAGTTTTAAGAGAACACTTCATTAGTTTTTAAACTACAAAACTAAGCAAAATCAGTGACCTTTTTTAAAGTTATGCCAAACCACTGAAACCAATAGCCAAAACAGTGCAAGTTAGGAATTACGCAATTTTTTCCTTAACAGTATGCTATTTGTGCAAAATTTTCTACATAAAGCTAGTAATTGCTTCCTTAATCACATATGGGGAACTAGAATTACCAGGATATATAAATGGTGTCTTGGAGTCTGTTAAATTAACATCTCTGCCTCAGGACTGGGTTTAATGGAGATGAAAGTATTTTACTGTTTGTTCCATTGTTTTCAGTCACAAGCAACTTCTGAACTCCCATTACTGCTTCACTTTTAACAGTCTTGCATCTGGCCTACATGCTGTGAGCCCAATTCATAAAAAAAGTTATGCACCGTTCACATAATACTTCCTTCTGAAATACTTCACAAAGTATTTCCTCCTGAGTAAAGTATGAACTTTGGCAATTGGTTTCCTTCCCTCTTCAGTAAAGAGGGACTCTCCCTGCAAATACAAACAAACCCCAAGGAGTACACCTCCAAGCACACAAAAAAGCACTAGATAACAAAAGGACACGAATTTATTAAACCACAATCTGTAAAAGATATTGGACTTGCCTCTCTCCCACCCAAACAATCATTGCCACATCAGAATATTTAAAAAAAAACCCTGCTACTTCTAAAGAATCTGTATAAGATGTGATGCTTTTATGACATTTAAAGGAATCAACCAACTTACCTTCAAAGTAAGGTGCCTGCATTCTGATTACTTTTTTTTTTCCACACTCAACTTCTCATTAGTACTCTTAGCAATAAAGTTTCAAATACTACACTGCAAAACTATCACCTCTGCTCCTTTACTGCAAAATAAAGGAAATGCCTCCAGAATTTCTAACTCTCCAGTAGACTATACGCCAAGAATGGAAAGGTAGATGTATTTATATGCAGAGTGTGGCTCTTTACTGACTGTTGTAGCTGACACTGTTTTCCCAGAGACAAAGACACCTTCTGTTTCTGAAAGTACACATTATGGCACTATCTGGAGTTTGAACTTTGGGTTCATTGTCTAGCCTTCTTCGTCTAGTTTTGAGCAAAATAATTACTATCTAAAACAGATTTAAGCTACTACAAATCAAAACCCCTGGAAACAGATATTTCTGCAAGAAGATCTACATACTTACCAAACTGAAACTGTGCATTGTCGACAAGGCGAATTGATGCAGGAGCACATCTCTTGAGGGCAAAGTTAGGGGAATAAAAGGGAGGAAGAAAAAAAGATTACGTACACGGTTTTGCTGAAATTCATGACAATCAAATTTTCATTTAAAAGTAGCATACAATAAAGCACACTGATACCAGAGACCTATGCCCACCATCATCACTGAAAAGAGGTGACTATGAGCTTGTTTTCACTTGAATAGCAGCACCTGTTTGGTATGTCTAGATACAATGTATTGAGAACTTTCAGTTTAACCTCAAGTCAACACAGGAATAGTCCAAAGGTCTTCAACCTTCAAGTACTGAGTGTTTTTCTAAATTGCCATATGCATTAAAGATGTCATACTTCATTATAATAGCAAGCTTATGTTGCTATGTAATCAAAGATATACAAACATTACAAATCCACTGAAAAGTCTAATTGTTGTGTGTTAAACCGTGGCAGGCAGCTGCTCACTCACACCCCCCACAGCAGGACAGAGGAGAAAATCAGAAGGGCAAAAGTGGGAAAACTTGTGAGTTGAGATGAAAACAGTTTAATAAACAAAATGGGGAAAAATACACCAAAAAGTGATGCAAAAGCAATCAATTACCACCAGCCAATCAATATCCAGCCAGTCCCCAAGCAATAGCAACTCCTGGAAAGCTTCCCTTTCTTGTTTTATTTCTGACCATGATGTTATATGGCACAGAATATCCCTTTGGTCAATTTGGGTCAGCTGTCCCAACTATGCTCCCTCCCAACCTCTTGTCCACTCCCAGCCTACTTTGCCGGTGGGAGGAGAGTGAGAAACAGAAAAAGCCTTGACACTTGGCTATTGCTGAACAGTGCATGCACAAACATTGGTGTGTTAACATCGTTTGGTCACAAGTACAAAACATAGCACCACACAACTGCTACGAACAAAATTAACTTCACCCGAGCCAGACCCAGTACACTAATGCTCTGACATCAGACTGCAATTAAAACCTGTATCTGGGTCCAGTCTAGATTCTGCACTGTACAGAAATCCAAAAACCAGTAAGCCAGTAAGAATAGCTGCCTTCAATTAGGCAAGCTTCTGGTCATACCTGTGCCTACATCACGTAGTCTGTGACGGCCATGTCCAGTCATGCTGAAATGTATGGCCAGAGGAACATGACAAAGTGTGATTTTTAGGCTAGTCTTCATCTAATTCACATGGATACAGAAGTACATCTCTTATCACTTGATTTGACACATTTGCCCACCATCATATCATTAATTATATTTGGTCACACAACAGGAAGAAAGAACATCGAGAAGAACTACGATAGCTCACCAGGCAAGTTGACAGAAGGCAGCTGGATGAGTGGTTTCTAAATGAGATCAATCCACCCACAATCTGCAGGTTGGTTATTCTTACAGTAAAGTAGACCAATGCAGACAAACAGCTTTCGATAGCTATCGCTGTAATTACTACCAAGATTGATGCGAGGGACAACAGAAGAGAGGACTACGTAGTTCAGGCTCAAGTGAGCAGCAGCAATAGAAGCTTAGAAATGGAGCAACGCTAAGTGGCTAACACTGCCTTTTTTTCCTCTTCTAAGCCCATAGCTAGGGAAAAGACACTAGTTCCCTAATTGACTTGAAATGTTGATCATCCATATGATTAAACATTCCCAAACAGTCTGCTTAGGTATCTTTAACATGAGGACTAGCAGTAGCACTAGCAGTAGAAGCACGACAGAAGAAGTGACAAGTGCTGCTGACTAGCATATACATGTCATTCACACACCAGTTTGAACATCTGGCTTGGAACATTTAGTCATTAATTTAGACCAATCACTGGAAAAAATGTAAAGCTGTGTTTAGTTTGGCATTAATTAAAACATTTCTGAAATTACTTCCCCCATTCAGGGTATATTCCACCATCCATAGAAATGATTTCATGTTTTGCACAGAGCAAAGAAAAGTTAGATTGTGAAGAAAGAAGCTAGCCAGCCTAAGATCTGCCTGGAAGCACAGCCATAAGGAAAAGTATTACAAGATTTGGTACGATGTCTGGGTTTTGCTCCCTGAAGCCATCTGACCACACTATTCAGAAGGCTCTATTTAAATACTACAGTGCAAGCACAATGCCACCTCAAAATGCCAGCTCACCTGAACATGTCACTGTGCTTCAGGAAGTGTTTTCTCAACACAGGCCCTATCTTCTATTGCATGACTTTTATTCCTTTCTCACTTCAGAATCATAAATTCAACTGCCTTCTACCTGCATGCTGCAACTTAATTCCTGCAAGTAGTGGTCCTTTTTACGTAGCCCTGAATAAATCTGAGGGTAAAGCTCTCCACCGAAGGAGATGCAAAGTCAAATTTTCTCTGTTGACATAGGTAAATAATTCTCATTGAAAAAAGGCATCAAAAGGCACACGCGCAATTTGTCTCAGAATATCGCATGAATTCAGAATGTGCTCAAACCTCAAATGCATAATTTTCAAAAGCCTTATGGACCATATACACTTATGAAGTTCATATTATTTCAAATCTTTGGTTATCAGTCGCCAGAAATACTACAGAATCAGCACACCTCTAGTGCTAGAATCTATGTTGAGTGAAGTCAACATCCAACTCTTCTTTACCTGCTTTGCCACTTCCCTTAAGCAGGCCACCCCTCGTTCAAAGTTCGGGAAGACCACAGAGCCATACTTCTGGTATTCAGGGACTGGGCGAATTTTTATCGTAACTTCAGTAACCACTCCAAGAGTTCCTTCAGGAAAAAAGAAAAACTGAGTAAAGTGTTGCTAGATGTACTTCTTGCAAGTTACCCAACTTAACAACTGTTTACCAGGATGCTGTAAGTTAATACAAATCAGAAATCCCACAAATTCAGTATTGCAGTACTAGGCAATTTATTCCTGACTATTTATGTGGTGAATGCTCACCAGATATCCTCCAAATCATGATGTTTGTTACTAGACTGGCAGGCTAAGTCCACAGAACTGTTTTAAGCCCTGTTCAGAGTTGCTTAACTTCACAGTCCTAATTAAGGTCTCAATGTATTATCCTAACACAAGAAATTCATGTCTGCATAAAGTCACCCATAGACTCACTGGAAGCCATAGCATTGAAGATGCTAAAATCATTAAGTCATTACAGAAGTTGAATAAAAATGCAGTTATGTGAAATTACTGGGTTTATACCTTCAGATCCCATAATGAAGTGATGTATATCAGGTCCTGTTGACATGCGAGGTACTTGACAGTTTTTTTCCACTACTCCCCTAGGAGTTACCATTTTTATATGAATCACCTGTTGAAACAATAAGTAATGACTATAAATACTAGCATTAAGCACAGATTTTTTGGGGGGTATTATATTTACTTTCTACAAAATGTATATTAAGCTTAATACAGTCCAGCAGACTTTAGACATTCTGTAGACAGCCCCAAGAACTTTTGGGATAACCTGAGGTAATAATTGTTACCAACAATTATTTCTAACACAGCACAGTCTGCCCATACAACAGATTGTTTCCAGTTCTATGCCAAATCAGATCAGCTATTAGCTACATGCAGACATACCAGTTAAAACTGCTTTGTTTCTCTGTGTGGACAGTACTTTATAAATTCTAAGATTTTAATCCAGAATATACACAGTACTTCAGAGGAAAAAAGTGAGGGTTTAAATTTTGCTTTAGAACTGCTGCTTGATAAAGCCAATATAATTCAGTCATCAGTTGCTACAGAAACATTTCTACCAGGAAGGAAGACAGAAGTTAGCTTTGTGAATATTAAATCTGTCATAAGACTGATACATATGTAAGGCTAAAAGGCTGGGATTTTTTTTTAGTTATTGCTTCTAGCTTCATTCATGCACATGCAATACAGAGCTCAGATATTTATTTTTTTTTCACTCCTTTATTCAATTATCTTATACAAGGACAGGTAGGTTGGTTTGGGTTTTTTTTCAGTGAAGTCTTTAAATGAAGCAAAATTACTGAATTTCAAATAATGGCTTTAAAACTCTCAAGCACAGGTAGCTAAGTAATTTTCATCCTGCACTGAGTTGTTCAAACATTTCACTACATGCATTTTACGAACTGTCGATTCTGCAATAAATGGATTTTAGGCAGTTTATACAACACACCATTTCTAGATATAAAGTTTCCTCAGAAGGTAAACACTTCCCTGAAACTTTCTCACTGCAGCATTTTGAAACTCATGAACTGTTCTGAATCAATTGTCAATCCTATTTCCTCTTAATGGAAATTTCAGAACCTGTTTTAGCCTGAAGTTATGCTTCCATGATAGAAAAGCCTTCTGCTTCCCACCAATACAAGCAAAACTATACCATCCAGTAACACTTGAGGCAGTAGGGGCCAGATGACACTTTGTAAGTGCTAGCAGTTTTAGTTCAGCCAGGCCCACTGAATAAAAGTTGTGCAGTTCCTGCCAAGCTCAGTCACTGATAGTAAAGTGTCACATCTGTGCACAGAACAAACATGTCTGAACTATGAGCTGATGAAAAAGCCTGAGGTGACGGGGATACACTACCTAGAGTGTGCGGTGCAGTAGTAAAGAAGGAAAAAAACATATGTGTGGAAGGGGTATTGTACAAACTACAAGAGAAAGCTGGAAGTTTGAAACAAAAAGGCAGGCAAAAGTCTGAACAGTGATCCTTTAACTTCAATATATTCAATGTATTTGTTATACCAGAAAAGGTGGATTTTTTAAATCTAAAAGTAGGCTTAATACAAAGATGAGCCATTTCAATGCTTAAAAGATTCAGGAGTACAATACTGCCATTGTCAGACCATTGCTTCCTTCCTCAGGGTTCCTGCATACCATGAGGCAGCATTAGATTTCATCATAGTGCAACCACATGGTCAATTAGGTCAGCCTACCCATTTGAAACAACTGCTAGCCTAAGGGGAGGTAGGAGGGTGGAAAGGGCTAGGTTGCTGTAAGAGTTGGCTGATCCAATCAGAAAACTTCAGGAATGCACAACAGGTAGGAGAGAACACAGGCCTTTCGGAATCACCCTAGAAGTCTGACAGCATTACAACACTGGATTAACAGAGAGCACAAAATGGTGGAAGAAGGCACCAGAGTCAGGACAGGGTAAAAATTTGTTAAGCTAGCCATTGAGCACCAAAATGAAATTGACTTTTAGATCAGTGATAAGGATTATTAGTACTAATACCAAAAGCAAACAAGCATCTCAGCTGAGGTTTGATGCCAAAACTGTATCACTTAAGAGAACCACAATTCACTACTCCTTTACCCTCTCATTGCGAGTCATTATAAAACATAAGCCTCCAAACAGAACAGTTAATTAGAAAAAGTATTAGAAATATTTACCAGATCTTCAATGTTTCCATAGATGTTTTTTTTCATGCCTGATGCTCGTGTTGCTACCCATCCTCCTAGTGAACTGAACTCCATGGAGTCTGGTTCATGGCCTGTACAGAAGCCACTTTCAGCAAGCTAAAGAAAGGAAAAAAATACATTCTACAGAGCCTGCATTTGCTTAGCACTCCAAATCTCAATATTGCAAGGTTTGTTTTTTTTAAACAAGTATTCTGACCACACACCCATTTATCAAAGACCAAACTTGTTCCTGGATATGTAAATGAAGTGCAAACTGATTCTGCTTCTACTGTGCATACACTGTGCTACATATCAACCAATAGTAGTCCTCTCCCATATTTTAAAATAAGACCTCTATTGTTCCTAAGAAGGTGTGAATTCAAATACATATGAGAAAAAAAATTCAAACTAACTGCCAACTTTGCACAAACGCTGCCAATAAATAAGGCACTTAATCTCTTTCTTTCTATCCTAACGTGATATGCAGCAGGTCTGCAGAAAATGTGAGCAAATTGCCTGTACTTAATTCTCTCAAGGAGTGATGTGTTTTAATATACAGCCATCTGGTTGGGCTTCCTGTATGGGATGCTGTCAACTATTTGTGATACACATCATGCATTCCTGTACATTAAGCAGTCACTTGTTTCTCATTTTTCTATATTAGCTTGGCTTTGCCATCTGCGCAGCACCGGAGGTTGATTGGATGCCCTCAGGATCACAACACCAAAGCTGTCGGACAGGAAGAATTAAAGACCCAGCAGTCTCACATCAAGCGATAACTATGTTAGTGCATGAGATGATCAATTTGCATCGACCAACTGATACCAATCCAGTTGGACATAGGTATTTAAGTATACCACGTAACGTGGATCATTGACTATACTCTGTTTTACAAAGTGGTTCTAACCTAAATGATTGAAAGTCACTTCTATGTAATGTCTATGGTGATTCATTTAGCTCATGGTCCTGTCATAGCAGAGGAGCTTGTGGCTTTAGACCCTTACTGGTTATATATTAGGGAAGGGCTGGAGCCTGCACCCTCCTCATTCCTCAAGATGACAAAAATTTTGCTTCAGTCACAACTTACCAATTTCTAGAAGTTGTATAAACACAAACACAGCAGAAGACCATGCTTTTGAGTAACTGACTACACGCACAAAGCACTTGGTCTAAACTCCTTGAATCCTGTTGTATGAACAGTATGTGCTAAAAGCAGTTACAGGAAAAGGGAGAGCTCATGCGGTGTACTTTGCAGATGCAAGAGACGGTCTCATTCAGAAAACATGAGCACGTACTCGTTTCTCCCGTAGAATCATGATCCACATGTTGTATTATAGAATATTGTATAGAATATTGTTCTATCTTCATTGCCCTTTTGTCACCTTCAGTCCTCATCTATGAGCTATTATTCTATATTCTGTTCTGACAAAAACAAGTCACTTGAGGCTTCTCTGTAGAGCCCACTAATACCTGGAGTAGTTATCCCATGGAAAATGGTGTCTTAATCACATTTAAGTCACTAGATAGAAAAATGTGTGAACCGCACACTGATTTTGAATGCCCCATTATAACACCAACAGCCTAACTTTTGTTAAATATCAGGTTTTCCAAATCTGTTATTTGTTTAGAATTCAGCTCTTGATTTTAGTTACTGTTACCAGGTTCATATCTGCAAATGAGACAGCCTACTAAGTAACTTCAGCACTCAAACAATGAGGAACACTGTAAGAAGCACCAAGCACAGCAACATAATTCCTAGATAATGCTGGTAAAGTCTCTTACGGCAACAGAAGTTGGATTAGCCTCCAATCCAAAGCCTGTTTAATACTAGCAAGCTGCAAACCAAACCAAAAATCCTTTCAAACGGTTTCTTCTTTGCACAGTTCAGTGGAAGTCTGCAGTGGCATTATCTATAATATTAAATCATAGTTATGCTCAGATTGTACTACACAAAAGAAGCACAATTGGGAGTCCTAGCTTTAATCATATCCCATTTGCTAGTAATACTGGAATTCCAGTATATATGTAATAAAAGTTTGTAAAATATAAATATACAATATATATACATACACTTTAAGTAGATGATCTGATTTGTATTCTCTGCACATTCTCAGAGTCACTCCATGCATTAAAACCTTTGTATGAATACCAGTTTATATTCAATATAGTACAAATTGACAGCCAGTACTCTTTTTGTAGTCAAAAACCAGATTGAAAAGTTTTTTTGATCAAAAATATTCAAGAAGAATAATGCAATAGTAGTATTTCAACTCATAAGAGCTATAAATAGCAAGGCAATATTGTCCCTTACTCTAAGGAAAAGTAGTGGAATTTAAAGAACAGAACAGTAGTGAAATACCTAACTACTACCGCAGAAAAACTGTCATTTAAATTAAGAGAATATTCTCTTTGCATTTTAAATCCAAGCTTGAAAGAAACAGATCTGGAAAGGTTAAGACTTTACATCAAATGATCAAAGGGAAAATAAAATAAGAGGCAGGAAAGGCTATCTTTCATGTCATAAACAGCTCTGTTAGTCAAGTATGATGAATTTTCTTTTAAAAAGTGGTCTGGGAAAAAACCTTCAAAAAAACCCTTTTAATCTCTACATATTTGCGAAGTGCACTTAGGCACTAAGAAAAGTTTAGACAACATTTAGCTGTCAAACAAGTCAAGTCCTAGAATTTTTTTTTTAAATAAGCAGAATTGCATATCCTGAAGAACAGTAACAGACATCCACAACTGGCTTGATTATAGAGGAGCACTGAGATAGACCCTGAGATGGGTGCTGTGAGAAACTACAATTAAAAGCCACTAGAGGTCACTTAGAAATGAAGGTGATCTAATCCTCCACTGAACTCGTCTTGGGCAACTCTCCATCCTTCCTGCTACTCTCCTGTAGCTGGCCTTAAGAAGCAGCAACAAGAGCAAATCTCTTATATACTCTAACCTTTCTGAGGAAACTACCTCTGGCCGAAATCACCAAAACATACATCACAAAATGACAATTTAAACTTTTCCTGGTAACTGGTACCAAGTGTCATGCCTTGCAGCCACAAGGGTGTATCTAAGTTCTGAAACAGAAAGCATAGCGTTACATCCCAGGAATTGTCAACTTACTACTGTAATCGAATTCTGAGGCTAGAGATGAAAAGAAAAAAATTTAAAAATGTTCATCAAATACGGCATTCAATGTGATACTGTTCATAACCACGGATATAATGCTTACCACACTAGTCTGCATGAAAACACACAGAATTAAGCTAGAATTCAATGATTAAGACATGACGAACAGCTAACAAAAAATATGGAGAAATACTAGATGCTTGACAACTTGAAAAAAGTTACCTGTTTTTCCAGATCTTGTCCAACAATGCCAGCTTCCACACAAGCTGTTAAGTTTTTCTCATCTATCCAGAGAATTCGATTCTGTTGAAAAGCCAATCAAAGCTAAGAATCAGTGCTTTTGATTTTTGTTTATTTCCTTCCTTAATGCTATAGGATCAACATTCTTGGTCACACAGTCTACTATTAATACAACTCCAGTTACTACAACAGTGGAAGCTGAACCTCCTCATTCCCTCAGCTACACAAGAGGTTACAATTTATTAAGTCACCACTATAAGACAGTAACACTTATTAATCAATATATACTAGGAATGTTTACAGAAACAATGCAGAAAAGTCAGAAAGAACTAAATCAAAGCTCTTACAGACGTTAGGCAATACAGTGATTTTCACAATTAACATGATTGAAGGTGTCTGAATCTGACTATCTGGACATAAGCTACACCGAGAAAAGTATTCTTAATCACACTCTATGGGTTAAGTAGACTGCAATCAGTTATTCCAGATCAGGTCTTACATTTTGATGCGGTAAGCTAAAAGCAAGATATACTACAGGATGTCAGAGCATGTACATACTTCAGAAGTTTAAGATACTTAGAAGGATTATATCATTTTATCTGATGAGACACTCACTGTCCCATCAGTATATTCTACTGAACAGGAAAAGTAGTAAACAGTACAAGTCACACAGTGCACTAAGCACTATTGTCAGTGAGGACAATCTATGTGAAGAAGAAACTTAAATATGCTTTTAGCTTTGTTTATAGTAAGGACACCACAAGAAGCTCCAGTTTCCACTCTTCATTCTTACTAAATACACTTCTAGTATACTTCTATCATTTTATGTATTAATACTGTATAGAAGGAGAACAGCTCTACCTTCCCTTTATCTTGATTTTTCAAATGACAGAAATGTGACATCTTGTAGCCCAACTTAAACTATACTTTAAAGCAACTGTCTCTCCTCACAACATCTGGGCAAACTAATTATTCAAAGCCAGCTATTTCAGCTTCTTTCAGATACCCTCAGTTTCAACATAAACTGCTTAACTGATCTACAATGCTTATGTAAAAGTTTTTATAAAATATAGGTCCTACATGTAAGATGAAGGTATCCATTAAGCGACTATTAAAATAGTAAAGCTTAGCCAGTCATCTTAACTGCTCTGAGATGCCCAGGTGTTAACTCCGATAATGCTTCTTTTCACCTTAATTTCCTTATTTCCCTCCTTATTAATAATTACAAGAATTGGCTGGCAAAGTCATTCAAGACACATGAAAGTGGTCTATCTTCTGACTTGGTGTAGACTCACATATCTTGCTGACACAAAAGCATGATAAGAAGTGTTAACCACATTCCTTTCCTACTCCTACATCAGACAGAAGTCAAAGTTGTGAGCTATGAATCAATGAGTTCAAATGAAGGCCTGAGCCAGTATTGTACTCTTTGGATGTCGTTCCATCCAGACACAAAGAGCTTCTTTCAATACATAACCACCACCTCCGCAGAAAAGATCACTTTTTAGCCAGACAAACAGAGAAACAAGTCTAACTGAAGCACCACTGACTGAGTAGAGAAAACAGAGCCAAAACCCAGGTCTTACCTTCAAGGCTAAAGGGGTTAATAAGCTCAGGAGGTACTCAGAGGCAGTAGAGCCTTACATCAAAGATGCAGAGCTGTTTCTGAAGCATCTCATTACCATGTAGTCACATAAAAGTATCATGCTCCTTCATAATGGAAAGATGAAAGCTAGTACTAAATTTTATAGAACTTCATTTCTAGACTGCCATAAAGCTATAAACTTCACATTCTCAAGATGCTATCTACACAAAAGTCCGTGCTTTTTTCTTTAATGTTGACCACCTTACCAACTTCTGCTTTAAGTAATTTTAAGCCTGAAAAAACTAGTGAAATTTGCAAAAACAAATAACTTCCTCCTAGCCTTTCATTTAACCTCAGACACAAGTTCCAATATAGAATAGCAGCTTCCTCTGATTTTCATGTAAAGCTACTATATGAAGGCTTAACAGTGATTTTTTTTTTTCTTATTAAATACCTATAGGTCATATGAAGCAGTACAGGGCTAGTATCAGTAAAATATCGTTTAAACTGAAGGACTATCAATTTAATCATGCATGGTACGGATTAATACTTCCATGCCTACTTTATTCTTGCAAAGAAAGAAATGTCATTCTCTAGTGATCATCATTCAAATTAACCATAGGATAATTTTTAAAATATATATATAAAGAGAGATACCATTTGTGATGTATCCAATGAGACAATTGTTCTTTTTTCTTCTTCAGGACATTCAAGGGCACTAGAGACACTCGTCCCCCCTGCAAATACAAGAGTGACATTGTGATCATAAAATTCTCAGGTAGCTTTTCTTCACCTACCATCCCTCTCTCCCTCCTTTCCAATAGTGAAGTTAATAAAGTAAGATCACAAGTTAACTGTTTGAGGCTAGTGATTAGCCTTTTAAGGCTGTTCCTTCTCCTAAACTGGGTTTCACAAGATCAAGGCAGCGTTGGAGCTGACAATGCTTTAACAGCACTTTATAACAAGCCATGAAATTCTGTGACCATCTCAGCTGCTTCTGAAAAGTCCAGAATACAGTTTTAAAACAAGAAGGCGTAAGAAATAACAAAGCCATCCAAGAAACAAAGATAGTTATGATTTCCATATATTCTTTTGAAAGTACTATGGAAGCCACTACACTTCTATCTAGAAAGCTGGCTTAAGAAGTCTATCTAATACAGGAATGCAATGCTTATCTGAAAGAAAGAAACTAAAAATGTATAACTATAAAAAAAAAATGGATAAAATCAAATGTTAACACTGCTCTGGAGGTTTCTAATGCATCAGAACAGCCTCCAAGAAGCCTTTGGCTTCTTAAAGACTACAAAAGCCATAGGAAGAGAGACACTAGGATGATAAAAAGCTCCACAGAAAGCTACCAGAAGAACAACCAACAGTTAAGTACACAGACGGTCAACTAATAAAACACTCTAAGAGCAGTAAAGTCCATCACCATCATTTCCAATGATAGGAAAGGTGGCATTTTCTTTAAACACCAATCCTAGAGTAGTAACTCCAGAAGTTGACTGTAGTTCAGTATAAACAGACTTGGAAAACAATCAAGATCTTTCTGTATCCTGCTCAGTCAACAAGAGATAGTCAATATTGATGCTTTCAGCTATATCAATTTATTGGTACAAAGGTGACTTGTAGCAGTCTTACAGCTCTCCAGATGTATCTGGCAAGTGTGAGAGCGTTTTAGGGAGAAATGAGCTCCAGTGGTTTGGTATTGTCAAGTGACATGCTCATCTTCTCAAATAGTAAATATCCTTCCTACAGGGGCTATATTCCTACAGCAGAAGCAAGTACCAAGTAAAACACATTTATCCCACAAAATTAAGAGCTCCTGACAAAAAGCTTCTTACAGAACGAGCTCATGAAAGCCAACATCCTGTGTTCCCTGAGCTCTAAGTCAAAACAAGGTACCTCACTACTCTACTTCAGCAGGCTTAGAGGAGAAAGCATCCATGATTATAAAACCAAAGTCCTTCAGAAATTCTTTAGGCTGAGAAGGACACAGATAACACAGGCCTACAGCTGTACTCTGTACCTGGAACACTTCCCGAAAACCCTTTGCCACAGCAGTTACTACTCTTAACTTTCAAACTGAGCAATGTCTAAAAGGAAGTTTGGATTATGGTTAATGATTTTACAGTACAGTGTCCGACTACAATCCTCCCTGGACCTATGCACTTCACCAGTACAGCCACAAAAAAATAATTTATATATGCCTGTGGGAACAGAGCACAAGTAACACATCCAAAAATATGATACCTCTAACACAGATATTTGAATCTCTTGACTTATTTCCTAGGAGACTCCCAAGGCACAGAGGTAGATTTCAGCTTCACACAATCACTCCTCTTGCACACTGAATACTCAATGTGTTGATGTACTTTTAATGACTTCCAATAAATTGAATATAGCAGTTTTTAATACTGCAAGATCACAAAAAATTTAAGACCACCCTTAAAATACAACTAAAAAAGTTGAACTATTGAATTATTAGCACAACGTATTACTAAGATCAGTATTTAAATTGAATTCCAGTAAAGTACATTTTCACTAGTAACATTAAACAGACTTGAGATTTCATACCACTTACCACCAAATGGTATTATGCAGAGATTGTGTTTGCAGGCTAATTCCACAATTTTAACTACGTCTTCATGGCAAACTAAAAAGACCAAACAGGTAAAAAAAAAAAACAACAAGGTTTGTGCTTAGTACCATTACTTGTGCTTAGTACTAAACATTGCAGACTGAATAAGCAGCAGCTCATTTTCTTAGACCAACAAGGAAGACATTCCAAAGAATTAAGCACTACATGAAAGCTGAGCTCAGAAGTATCAGAGGTTCAGAGTGAAGTTTAGACCTGAAACAGTTCTACGTTTGGAGAACTAACTACAGCCTTCGTGTCCTGCTCTACTCATGAACTGAGACCTCCTGCAAATTCTCAGGGCAATATGGGCTACCAAACAGTTAACAATTAATCTAGGTATCTTGGAGAACAAATCAAGTTTAAAACTTTCATTGAAAATAGGCTGTCCAATTTAGTTCAAGTGAGAAATAAGTCTCTTCTGAGAGCTGAACAATATATTTTTTTCTTCCTGGCTGACATTCAGATTCAAAAGTAGAGTTGCTGGTAAAATTTACTTTTCCAGAATGAATTCAGTATCTGGTCAAAGAGGGAAGCAGAAAGGCAAGGAAAAGGATTAAAAAGAGATCAAAACACAGTGTGTACATGAGTCCATGCAAACAGCAGAGAATGAGCAGGAGTGAATAAATAGGCTTAGCAACTCTGGCTACTTTGCTCTTGCCATACAGAGCAACTTTAAACAAAGGTAGTCAATCATTTTATTGCAGTTGCTTTTGGAGCTGCACAAAAAAAAAAGCTGTGCCAAGTGCTGTTCTATATAGTCACCAGTGCTGTCATGTCAGTACCTGTCCTCAAGTAACGAGGTGTATCTTATAGTGCTGCTTTTTATGTTTCTTGTATGTGATTTTTTTACTCTAAATAAAGGAAGCAAAACTGAGCTAAAACTAAGTTCTTATCAAAAATTTTGGGGTTGCAATGCACCTATCAAAGTATCAGAAACAGTTATAAAAGGTAAGGAAAGACTTGGATTCACAGAGCTTAACAGAAATTGACAGGTACTTAGATCAAGTGACTTCTTGGTTAGCTGCTGAAGAATGGCACATGGAAAGTAGTTCCTAGTGACCAGAGAAACATGACTCAAGTAGATAATTCACACAAGTAGGCAAATAAAGTTGTATTAGTTTAAGTATTTGTATCCTTCTACTAGATAGAAGCAAGCATATTTTCTGCTACATATTATCTACAACAGCATTAGTTATTAAAGTGGGCCTAGCCTGTGCTCAGATCGCACTGCTCTTTCTTCAAGTCAATGATCCTTTGTAAAGCATTGAGGGGAGTTACAGGTGTTACTTTTTTTAATTGGAGTACAGCATGTCATAATCCAAAGTTCTTTAATACAAACATTTCACCACCCTCCTACCATCATGTCCGCCTTTAAAACACAAGATTTAGACTGCCATTTAGATAAATACTATTGGTGAACATACAAGTTCAAATTACGCCAAGGTTACTCAGTCATGAATTCAGCTGTCAACAGGAATTTCAGCTATATTTAACAATAAATGACTTCCTCACGAAGAGATGAGATTTCACAGGCACAACCTGCAATCCAGATGTTAAACAATCATGATTACAGAAAGGAATTTTCTCATGAATGGTAAAGTGGAAGTCAGTGAACTCAGAGACAGCTTCCCCATGACAAGAAAGCATAGGAGTTCAGCAAACAATGGCCTCCCAGATCAGAAGGAAGAATAAGACAATTAAAGCTTACCAGGCCATACAACTATATCAGGAATTCGCTTAAACATTCCTTCCCTGAGTACAAATATCTCATGTAGGCAGTGACCTGAAACACAAACAATAAGTTAAAAAGTTCAAACAAGGAAGCACAGAAAGCAATGCAGTTACATAAATGAAGTCCTCTTACCATGAGCTCTGAATACCCTATCTTCTGCATCCTGTGAATAGGAGATTTTAGTGGCTCTAAGATCCTGGAGAAATTCTTCATTTACAGTGGATGGAGGTACATCATTAACATTTAAGGATGCCTACAATACAAGAAAATAAGTTCATTAAATGTAGGTTCAGTCTTACAGCATTTCTGTACAATGGAAATAATAAAACCAGGTTAACACTAACCAATACCTAAACACAACTAAGACCAGAAATACAGAAGTTGTCTTCCTCATCTTCAGTCACTGATTCCACTTGTCCTACCTGGTACTCAGCTGACTAGATGCAAACAGGAAGTTTTATTTTGGTAGCACATTCTTACATTTTTTCCTCCTGAAAAATTTAGAGAAATCCACTAGCTTATGAGTACATACTGAACAAAATATCTTTCTGAAGATTTCCCAAGATCCAAGAAAAACATCTGTCTTAACAGAACTACAGACTCTCCTGTTGATTAAAGGGGTAGAGATTGGAGGTCACAATTCCTTTTTGAATATAAATTCCTCCTCCAATACAGGGAAATACATACTAAAGCAACTCCCCACTCTGTAAATTCCTCTGCTTACAGTTCTATTTCTACCAACCCATTTCTCCTCCTCCTGTTAGGTACTAGAAGTTAAATCCATCTCAGACCAAAACCTAAACAGAAGTTCAACGTAAGGCAAAATAAATCAAAAAATGTTTGATTGATCTAACATAACCAGAATATTTTAAGTAGACCTCACGCATCATAAAGACTTCATAAAAATCCATGTTCAGTCACTAATATGCAAGTGTTTCCAGAAAGCCTTTAGCTAGAAGTCCTGATCAACACATTGGAAAAATGTTTTCCTTTCAAAGAAGCTACACTGGACATTTTGGCTTACCACATCAAGGTTCGGCCTTGAATCAAGGTTCTGTAACTCCAGAGGAAGAAACCCTGTTTCAGGTTTTCTAACCCATCCTTCCCAGTCCCTACAACACATGTCTCATAGTATTCTTATGGCTTCTCAAAGTGCAGACCTAGCCACTTAACTGTCTTTTCTAACGTCCAGATATCAGACACATAAAAACGTAGTTCACATGCTGATTATTTTTTAAATACACTTAGAGAATGAGGATTCTTCCAAAAAGTAAGATCTTTGCAGACATTAAGTGTAATGCTTTCAAGTGCTTTGAAGGTTCAAAAAAAAAAACCAACCCAATAAATTCATTTATACTTTTCTATGGGTAACCTCCCTAAAGGAATATGTCTTCTATTACAAATAGCCTCTAATTAAGGAGTTCTTTAACAAGATATAAAGCTTATCTTATGACTGAAAACTAATTTCTGGACTTTAACTCCTATTTTGAAAAAAAACGTTGGTCAAGAATTTTATTTCTAGTTATCAAAGTCCCTCAAGTTCAAGAATAGGAGAACTGAAAATTTTTTTCACTACTCCATCTTTTATTTTAAATACATTCTCAAAAATTAGGAGTTGCACAAAAATTAGTTAAAACAGCGCAGTGCTTTCATACTTCTGTCATTAAAACCTGGCTGGCAAATCAACCGACATCAACTCCAATAGAAGAACGTTCTTGCAATTTTGTTATAAAGCTATCAGGAAAGACTATGGGCTGCCTAAGAATGCCAGAAAGTGCTTGCTTACAGCCCTACTACCAAGAAGTATTTTGTACAAAGTGTTCCACATAGTCAAAGAAGCTTAGACAAGAAAGATGGGGAGAGGCTGTTCAGGAGGGCCTGTTGTGGTAGGACAAGGGGTAATGGTTTTAAAATAGAGGGAGGTAGATTCAGGTTGGATATTAGGAAAAAATTTTTTACCATGAGAGTTGTAGAACACTGGAACAGGTTGCCCAGAGAGGTGGTGGATGCTCCATCCCTGGAGACGTTCAAGGCCCGGTTGGATGAGGCCCTGAGCAACCTGATCTAGTTGGAGATGTCCCTGTTCCTTGCAGGGGGGTTGGACTAGATGGCCTTTGAAGGTCCCTTCCAGCCCTAACGATTCTATGATTCTATGATTCTAGACATTTCTTTGACAAGCCCAGCCTATGCTTCTTGACAAGTACAAAAAGAAAGCAGCAAAACCGAATTCACTTGTCTTTCACCTTTTGAAGTTTCAGCCTTCTACAAAAAAGCATACCCACCCATGCAAGTTCTCTTTCCTAGAATGGAGTTTTGCCTATCTTTGCTCTCCATAACCTCCAAAACAGGTGACACTTTTTGTCAACACATGGCTTAAAATAAAACCTTAGAGGACAGCACCAGTTACCAAGCTAACAGCAAGGAAACTGGAGATTAATAGTCTCTCATCTGCCACCATGGGAGCAGTCTATTCTGAATCGGTTGAGTCTCAAAGTAGTGAGAGCTGAAAAAGGGAAGATTAAACCTTCAACCGGAAAGTTTTCAGGTAGCTAAAAGATTCATGGTGAGGGAACTTGCCTATCAGTATCCACCCTATAAGAAACTATGTAGAGTTATGTAAAAATTAACAGGTATAATTCAGAAAGCAGTATCTGCAAGAGATATGTTCATGACTGACAGCTAACAACATTTAGAGGTTCAAAAGGATAGCCAAGTGTTTGTTTTAGAGTCTTCATATGGGACACATGACCTAATGAAAACATAGTTTTAACAATGATTTGACTTCTGGAAGGGATATGTGCTGTTCTGACCTGCTTTAAGATAATATTATACTTCTTGAAATAAGGTGTCAGACATCTGAGAAAAAGCCTTTTCCTTCCAACATACTCACTTTGTCACCTACAAACACAGAAGCTGAGATTAAGCGTTGCTTAGGTGAGCAGTACGCTGCTACTGAGAGACCACGATTTTAAGGGCCAGCCACAATAAGCACAGAGTAAGTCAGGTCTTGGATTGCTGCTCTTAGATCTTACTATTCTGCTATTAACGCACATTCACACAGCGCTGTGTGCTAATCCAAAGAGCAGAGCTCTGACAGAAACTTGGGAAACGTCAAAAAACAAAAAAAGTATCAAATAAAGATCTTTAAACCACTTAAAAAAAATCCCCGCTAGCTGTGCTTACATTTTCTATTTTAAACTTTGGTTTCTTTATGGATTTCCATAGACAGAACTATTTCAAGTCATTTCAAGTTGAACACCAAGTACTTGAAGATCTTTGTTCTCTATAAGTAGTTTGTGCCCCTCTTAAGTTGTAACAATTCCATGCAGATGGTTTTAAGCATCTTGATTTTTATCTCTCTTCCACAAGTACTTTAATCCTTTAGTTTTCATCTTTGAGATTGAAAAGTTAATAGTTGTCCATATAAACCTTACACACAATGCCAAACAAAAATATACTTTTATTTATTCTTATAGGATTGAAATATTTTAAGATTTGTGCACTAAAAGGCTAGACACAAAGCCTATGTGAACCAGGTCTAGACTGCTGTCTGTGGCAAGCCTAGCCTCAAAGAGGAAAAAAACCGTCATCAGGCCCTGCGCATCACAGAAGCAGGTACATGGAACCCTCCAGTCTTATAGAATAGAGGCAGGAAAAGATGAGATAGACAAACAGATCAAGAGATCTCTCTCCTACTGTGGTTCCTATACTCAAGTTCCTTCATGCTCTGATGGTAGTAGAAGGTGAAAAATCAACATAGCATGACAGTCAAACATAAGCTAGGAACAATGAGAGAGATGAAAACGGTGGACCTGCAGCAGTAGTTGAGAACACCTATGAGAAGTCTAGATATATACTGGAGACTCCTAACAGTCTTATTCTGTGTCAAGGTAGTAAGCCTCTTTCAGGCTGCAGCAAGAATATCAGAACCAGACGGGCACAACACAACAGGAAAGCATTCGACATCACTGGCAGATATCCTGAAGAGCTGTTTTGCAAGACGTGCTGTAGAATCAAGATACTCTCCAAGAATCTGCCCTTCTCCAATTCTACTCTGTTCTATATTTTGTCTACATATATAAAGGGAACAATGTCTCTCAGGACCTCTGGTGACGGCAAATTAAAGCAGCTGTCAGTTAAGACTCATTCTGGTCAAGGAAACCACATTAAGATGATTTTTTTCAAAATATACCGGCAGATGGAGATCCTGCAAGTCATAGCAGATGAAAGAATATCTTGATTAACAGAAGACTGAAGAAACGCTCAAGTTTTCAGGCCCTACGAAATTGCCTACTTCAGAGAAAATGCAATCTTGAACTCACTCAAGAAACTGACAAAACTGTTACCCAAAGCAGGGTTGCTGCAGTCACTGTACAAGCACGGTCTGCTTCCAACACTGCTTAAGCAGCTATCTAGTCTGGAACCCACAGCCTCAAAGGAATTCTTAGAAGGGAGTCAGGTCTCCTGACTCTGACACGAGTTACTCTTCTTGAAAAGCAAAATATGGACGCTTCACAAGACCTAGAACATTCCAAATGTGTTGTTTTTCTGAAAACATTCAGTTCAAGGTTGAGTAGCCAGTTTTCAGCACCCAGATATGTAAAAAAACTGTCAAATAAGAACTTGGATAATATTAAATACACTGAAAACACCACAACTGAACTTCACTGTATTTTCTGGCTTTATTATCATGAACAACATTGAAGAGCTGCATAAACAATTCCCTCTAGGCTAACAGTTTCTACAATCTTGAAAAGCAACCTACAAACAAGGAGAAAAATCCTCCCTGTGTTGGAGAATTTCATTCCAATAAAAGTACTACCAGTTAACCTGGAACCACAAGTCATGCTAAGTTATTGAACATTTCATGTAAAACACTTTTTGTCAAAAAGTCTCAGGTATTAATACACTACATTTAGATCATGTGCAAGCTGACCTTCAGGACAACAGCTGAATCATCTTTAACAACGTGGTCTAATGTTCAAAGGAACTGGTTCAGCTATTTACTTACTCTAGAGGTAGTTTTGTGCTCCAGACTTGCTCCAAAGGTTTTTTCTATCCATTCCTTAAAAGTTGGTAATATCATACCACCTAATCTGTACCTGAAAAGTCAATATTACATAGCGTCATTTTAAATTAAAAGACTGTATGTCAGATACACTTCTTTTGATTCTATGTATGTACAAGTAGTTAAGTTTTAAATCAAATTCTTTACCTAAAAGCCTGCAAACCTTCTGCACATTTCATTTTTATGCAACTACACATTTCATTGTATTTAAATGTTCTGTACTTCACACAAAATCAAATCAATTGTCAACATCTTGGGTACTATTTTCATTTTCCTTCATGATCTTCAGGAACTGTCGCATAAGGCTTTTCAGATATTCCACCCCCTTATCTTTACGTTTAAGAAAGGTCTCTCCCTTTCAGTAGTGCAGAATGCAGTGCCATAGTTTGTTTACATGCCAGTTACACATAGAGGCCGTGTGTGTGGACACACTGCAATGTAAACAGCAGCAATCTCAGACACACAAACCCAGCTCAGTACACCTTATAAGTTTTGAGGAAAAAAGCATTAGAGATTCTCCCCTCATCATCAGAATCCACCAAGCAATATGAATTTATTTCTACAGCAAACTCTTCAGCTTAGCCATGTGACAGACGAAGACTTACAGACAAGGGACAGAAGAGCTGTTTGTGAACATTTGTATCATGTGAAAGCAAATAAGGCTGAAGACAAACAGGTAGAAACTATTTCTATTAATTGTATACATATACACACCTTGTGCATGTTTATGTATGCACAAGCATTCTCCGAGGACAAGAGGAAAAAGGACTTTTCTTTGGTATTAATAATTTAATAGCTTTCAGCAGCTGAGAATCCTTACTATCGTCTGCACCTGGGTCACTGCATTACACTTCATGGGTCTTCCTTCTAAGATTATTCAATCATTGTTAACAACCCTGTCCTTCGCAGCTGTTGCAACCAACTCTACAACTAAATCACCTATTATACAGACAGATCATTTCATTTTGCTTCCTCATGTCAACTACCTCCCAGTTCTCCTATTGCAAAACACCCTACTCTATTTCTAGAGACAAAAGGCTACAACCAGATCTCAACTCAAGGTAGACTCTTCAGCTTGGAAGACAGCATTCAGTCCTTCCTTCCTGTGACAGATGTTACTGTATCATCATACCCATAGGAAAGAGTTAAGTGAATTCTGTGAAAAGGAGAGTGCAATAAGCAATGAAAGTCTAATGCATTTGCATCAGGAGTTTGCAATAAAGGTACAGACAGACTCAAGTCAGCTTGGTGTGTCTTCTTCTCCAGACATGCTTTTTGGTATCGCCAACCTATCACTATAGCTAACTCGCAAGGATAACCTTAATCATTTATTCAAAGGACAAACTAAAGCTATCAAAAACCAACAACTTAAGTCAAGACAGACAGAAGTCACAGCATAAAGGGAGTTAGTGAGTTGACTGCACAGAATGCAATGCCTGGTTGCTCAGGAAGCAAGCTTCGTATGTATGTTGATGGTGCAAGCAGCCCCTCAAGAGACCTCTTCCTCCCACACACCCCAAAAAAACAGGTTTAGCTGCTCAGACAAGCAGGTATCATCTATCCCCGGTGAGATGTTAGATTCTATAATCAAAAGATCATTTGACAACACATGAAAAAGCATGGTCTGTTGGGAAAGTCAACATGGCTTTCATAAAGGGAAATTCTGTTTCATTAACAGTTGGAGTTCTATCAGGATGTGAAAACAGAAAGTATATAGAGCGAATACAATGAACATTAAATTGCACACTCCTTTATACTTCCACAGGTGTTCAACCCAAAAGCTATTTAAGAAAATACATTGCTACAGTACTGAAGAAAAGGTTCTTCTACAGTCTGAAAGATAAGAAGCAAAGGGCAGGGTTTATTGATCACTATCCAAGACAGACTCAGGAGTGCAGCTTGCCATGCACTGGTACTGGGACCAGTTTTACATGTCTTCATCAGTGATCTGAATTCATCAGTGAACTCTCCAACCAGGTGAATAATATTAAGCTGTTTTGGGTAGACAGATACTATACTGATAGTGAAAGAACTCAGAACCTTAAAAAACCTGAGCAGACAAATGAAGATGGAAGATAAGAGGTAGATAATTCCAAGAGAAAAAAAAAACACACAACATTACTTGCATATTTTACAGAATCAGACTGGTAATCATTATAGGAAAAATCATGACATCCTAACTGACAACATACAATAGCAGTCAACAGTGTCATGCGTCAACCAGGCAGGTGTAAGAAAGAAGACAGTTCATCTTCTTGCTGCTCTGTAGAACCCTGGTGTATCCACACCTTGAGTGCTGCACACAGTTTTTGTGTCTCCAAAAAGACATAGTAGAGCTAGAGAGGGTTAAGAGAACAGCAGCCACAAAGACCAAAGGGCCTTGCAAGCAGAGACTACAGGCCCCAGCACTCCTCAGCGTGGAGAGAAAGTGGAAGACAGGATAAAATTAAATCTTATATAATCAAGAAAGCAGCAGATAGGCTGAAGAACTATCAGCCGCCTAATCCTGCAACACAGTAAGAGATACTTGGTTGAACACACAAGCACACAACAGCAACTTGGAACTTACTGCCATAGGATGCTGCAGAGGCAGACACTATCAGCAAACTTGAAAGGTATTAGACAAATTTATGGACAACAAATCTGTAAGTGGATGATAAAAGGATGAGGCATCTGTAACATCTTTGCAGATGCCTATTCTCCTACTTTCACTTCAAACACTCTCCTTTTGACACTGTGACAAACTATTCCATAGGAACTACACTGGTGTGGCCCAACAGCGCATTTCTAATATTATCTATCAGTTAGAAAGAGTGAATGCAGACGGAGGAAAAACCACCACTTTGTCTCCATTCTAGAACAGTGACTGGTACTCAAACAGCAGCCTTGATGCTTCCTCCTGAAAAAAAAAAACCAAGTCCAGTTCTTTACCTTTTTTCCTTTAAAGCACACTGCGTAAGTTTTCTGTGCAGCATAACCTACCCTATATAAACTAAAGATATCAGAGGAAAGAATGAGTGACAAAGTGACAAAAGTCAGAATCCTGACAAGAGCAGAGAGACCAGCAAGATCTCCCTAAGTATTATGCAGTGAACTGAAGTGCCTAAGACGACGCTTCGCATTTTAATCTGGGCCTGAACATTAAGAAGTTAAGGATTAAAGCACTGAACATCTCAGTTAGGTTTTTGCAGCTTTGACTCAAACTAGCTCATGCTAGTTTACACAGACTCAAAGACCAGTAAGGAATTTTTCTGAAGGACAGTACTTATTTCAGACTTATTTCTCTTCCCCAAATATATTTCTCATAAAACAAGCTTGCTGTACAAAGGGCTAGTAGGTAATAAATCAGATGTGTTGTCACTACAAAACATACTACTGAAGAGGAGGTTTTATTTTTAAGCTCGGAAGATAAAGTAGCTCCAGGCACAATGGTTAAGAAACGTAAAACACACATCAGAAGTTTAACATAGCAACTTGTTGATGCTCAAGAGATTCTCAAAACTGGCTATACTGCACTGACCTGCTGCAAGCTATTTAAGGCTTTCGAACATGGTACAGATTCTCAGTCTGACTCCGTTCGCCAAAGGAAGTTCAATGAACAGAGTATATCAAGATACAGAGAAGACTCACCTTGATTTGTCTTTATAATGCTTTTAATAAACCTTCCAGTAAGCCACATAGCCTATTTTACTATGTTAGATTACTGTGTCTAGAATTCAATAAATCTGTTAAACACAGGACAGTTAACCCATTCTATGAGATAAAGCAAGTTTTTTTTCCTTCTTTGGATTAACTGAAAAGTGCAGTTTTTAAAGGCTTTTTTTAAAAAAACGCTAAAGATACTTCAGTTATATAAATTTTCAACTTACCTTTTTCCTGTGAATTCTGCTTGACCCTTCTTATTGAAGATGAATTTGGAGTCATTATATCCCCATCCGTTCCACTTCAAAAGTTCTTGCCTTAAAGGGAGAAAAATATATAAGTGAGAAGGTTAGCATATTGTAAGCCCAAAATTACTTGCAGTTATACAGCTCTGGAAAAAAGCCTTATCAGATAACAATTCAAGAAATTAAATACATACTAAAAGTGCATAGCTTAGAGTAAAAAGTCATTCTGCAGCCACAACCATTACTCCTTCAAATTGCATCCCAACACTTGAAAGACAAGATGCTTTATAAAAACAACCAGCTTACGTCAATGCACACTGTACAGTGATATTCTCAAATTGGCAAGAGCAATGTTTGAAAGATGCTTGGGTTTAAATCTATACATAAATACTAACACACAAACAGGTAACAGCTAAATATTTTCAGAATGAAAAAGGCATTTGGCATTATTATTCTCTGTCAAGAGAATAATTTTAAATTTTACTTGTTTGACATCACTACCGTAATCCCATCACATTCTTAATAACATTCACTTGATGAGGTACTCAGACATTTGGATTGAAAATATATTTTGGACAGTTAAAGCCTCCAAGAACTGGAGGAATAACATACCAAATATGTATCACCTAGATGTGATCTAAGCATGCCACTAAAGGAAAGGGAATATGAAAAAAACAACCAAACCTACAGCTGTCAAAATACAACAAAATTGAAATACCTTAAGCACAATACCAAAACAGAGGATCTCTTAATTACAATAAAGTAATCAGAAGTATATAAATGTAAATGTATTCAAGACTCAGAGATACACAGAGTAAATACACAATCTAACTGCTTAAAAAGTTTGCCATTTAGTTGAATTAGAAATGAAGTATTAACCTAAAAATTGAATTTTAGTTAATAAAATTCTGAAAACGGATTATTTACCTCACTCCGCTATATACAGTGAACATAGTTCTTACTCTTTGTATAATGTAAGATGATCAGGGCGATCACTTCAAAAAGACCTTGCGATGCAGAGAAAGCACTGCCTCGAGTCAGTTATAACTCCAACATTACATACAACATAACTGTGTGATCACTGATTACCAAAGGCCTTCATTAGAAAGATAATGTTAACATAAGTCGCTGACATACTGTCCATGTTGCAATTAAATAGACTTGAATTAATTAAAATTCATTTTCTTCAAACTGTCTATATACAAGATTTCAATTAATCAAATGGAAAAAAAAACACATGGACATGTCTGATTCAAACAATTGTAATGAAATACATTTTAACAAGCCTTTGACAAACTTAGCACTTCAAGCAAACTTTATAGAGCAGTTTCAGTGCTCAGTAACCGACATGGTTTTGTGAAATAGCCAGTCTGTGTTGTTCTTCCACATTGAGGAACTGATAGTAAAATTTCAGCCCAAATTAAACTGTTTCAGCAGATAGCTGTCCAGCTGCAGAAGCCCCTCTGCTTGGCTACCTACTCTCTCTGTAGACGCAGTTCTTTACATGTGTGGTGCCCACTCAGAAAAGGGTAAGGATCTGCCCACATTCCATAGCACAGGAACGCCTTGTGCTACTGCGCTGACTCGACAGGTTATGAAAAAGTGTTCTTCATGCATGTTATTATGCAACCTTGCCTATTTTTACAGGTATTGCTACATCCTGTGTATGTATGTTTATAAATATTTCATATATTTATAAGAAATTCCACAAAGACACTAAGTCATACACAGTTGAGCTGTTCCCAGCTGAGAAAAGGCTGACACAGAACCGGCCAACTCAAGTGGTGTTTATTTTATTTTTTTTTTTAAACTAAATGTTTCCCTCAAATCCCCATCATCGCAGTCCTCCTCAAGGCAAGATTTCTCCCTCTGCTGACTAAATGCAGTATCTCTATATACCTGATCTCTGTAGTTTGCCAACTCCTGTAAAGTCAGAACAGGCTTGATATTAGTAAGTGAAATTTGAAGAACACACAAGCAGCTTCCCCCCTAATTTAGAGAGGTATGTCCTCTGGCAAGGCAGTGCCAAAATAACTAAGTCAAGTACAATGCACAAGACAGGCTAGAGAAACTAGCTGCAAAGCTGGAGACAGACCAAGACACAAAAGACCAGGCTCTAAAGGAACTGGTGAGATGAGATAAACTGATAAAGCACAGCTTTGAAACTATCATTAGTCCTGAGGTCAGTACAGACAGATACTTCCCACAAAATCCAGGAGAGGTACCATTAATTAAGGCACTGAACAAAGACCAGATACAAGGTCTTTCTGCTAAGCTGACAGCATTCCCAGTTGCTTGCCTTTTCTCAAGGCCTGCTTTCCTAGGGTGGTATTAAACTACCTGGTACTTTCATCAGGCTTTAAAACACAGAACAGAGGTTGAGAGTTTTAAATCTTAAGAGTTTATTTTCAGGTTGAACTATTCCTGAATAAAATAAGTATATAAAGGTTTATTCTGCCAGACAACAGCTCCTGTTATTGGTGTGATGAGAATGATTAAATTAAATGTAACAGTTTACATGTTTGTAGAAGAACAGCCAGTTCTAAAACATCTCAGCTACCTTGTAACACAAAGTTAGGAGATTTTCCACATCCCCGCAATGGCCAGTATTATATTTTGTGACAGTATTTTTGTTACAAAACACCAAATGTTTAATTTATATTCAAAACTATAATGATAAAGACTGAAGTTTCTATTTGGAGACAGGAAAGGCTGTTTTTGTAATGGGTCATCTTACATTTTTTTGTTTCCTTCTTTTGTTCCACCATACCAGAGTACTGCCAGCTTAAAAACTGTTGTTTGATTTACTTGTTGTAGTTCCTAGCGCTTCATGCTTACATGCTAAGAGCAAGTTAAAGGAAATACTGCATGTGGCTCCCTAAAAAAAAAAAAGCCTAAACCCACCAGATTTTAAGACTGATTAATCAGCTCTGATTTGTAATTGACATGGCCTTCAGTAAAGACCAAGCTGTTTAGATCTTCTCACATATCATTTCAAATCTATGTTCTTTGTAAACAAGGGCTGGTGAACCTCAAAACTCAAGAGAATTACCTTCAGCACAGAGGAAAATGGGAGAGACATTCAGAGGAGATCCACAAGCCTCCTTGACTACTGAGGCAATGTCATACTGATACAATTCAGACTGTAGCAGAAGTTTTTGGAAAAGTGTTACTTATTAGTTGACATATTATTCAGAAGAGGCACAAGCAGTTCTGCAAGACAAAGGCCAGGGCAGCATACTGTTCTTCCCCAGGCCTGCTTCACTACCCCAGCTCCCTCAAGTACAGGAAAGACTACAACACACACCTGCTCTGCATTTCCTTATCTTTTCAGCTTATGTTTGGAGATTAGAACTGTAATTTGATAGCATAACAAGAAACAAAAGGAAAACCAAGAAAAAGTATTTTTCTAATCAGAAGTGCTATAAAAGCATTCCTCCCTCTTCAATAATTTGACTGCTAAATGGTAAAATGACAATGACAAAAAAACACCTGAATACCCTGTATAATATCTGAATACTCTGATTAATACCTGAACCTCTCAAAACATGTTGAAAAGTCTCATGCTCCAACTGGAAAAAAAGATGCTCAGTTCAGCTTAGTCAACTGACATGTTCATACTACACGTCCTCTGTGTAGTAACACAGTTTACACACCCTTCTATCTTTCCTCTCAGCCCCCCTTCCAAGAATATATATATAGCAAACACAGACTCACCAACATTTGGTATTACTCCTGCTTTAAACTTGATGTTACCCAGCTCTGTAGTGTACCTGAATTGTCTCATTTAAAGACAACATCTCACCTACTCAGTACATTAGTTTCAACAAAGTATCAAGCTCACTACCTTACTTTCATCTTTGACAGAAATATGGAATATTTTAGCCAGAAATAGTAGGAAATTACTATAAAGCAAAGCTCACTTAACACTTTTTAAATATATATTATGTGAAAATTATTTTGCCTGAAGGGGAAAAACCTGAAAGAAAACAAGTTACCATGGTAACAGTGACAACAGGACCTGAAAATAGTGTGACTAGGTTAAGCAAATTTAAATATTTCACTTTACAAGGCCCAACACTGAAGTACTAGTTTGATTCAATGCAATGAGGATTTTTACAGCAAAATATTTATTCAATGTCAAGTGTTTTCTGCATTTTTCTGGAAAACTGGCTATGGAATAATCAAGGAGACGCTGGGCAGGACACTGCTTCAGTCACAGCACAAGACACTATATTAGGCCCTCAAACGATCATTGAGGTGCCCACAAATTAGGCAGAAGCTCATGAGGTAGCAGCACACCCAGCCCAGGGGAACAGGAGTGTGGCCCCCAGCCCGCCAGCTGAACTGGTGCTTCCCAAGGCATCTGGTCACTCAGCTGGGCAGGCGGATGCCTCTGGACCTACGCTATTTCAACAAAACTGTACCTGCCAGCACTCTCCAATTCTCATGGTTTAGTGAGAGGCACAGTGACCAGTCGAAAGAGTTTTATCTCTCCCTAGGAAACTGAAGAACAAGCACAGGGTCTCCTACAGGTATCCAAGCTCAGCGTCTGAAGTTCAAGCTCTATGGAAATAATACCATGGATATCATTTTTCAGTAGTTTCAAATTCACATCACAAGTGCATGTCAGACGTGTACACAATACATACAACTGCCCGTTGAGAAGCGTTTTATACTGCAAAAATATCACCTACAGTTACAGAGCCTTTTGTTTTCCAAGATCTAGAGCACATTGATGTTATAACACCAGAAGTTTTTTCCACTTATGATGAAGTTATGAGATTATGTTCAATGAAATATCAGAACCAAGATAAGGTAACAAATGAACTCCAAACATCAGCATCATGTGATTTAACAAAGAACAGAATCGCCTCATTACACAGGCATGCCATCTAAGCACATAAATATCAACAAAAATTCCCCCTCCTCCAAAATAATCTGAAGATCTGGTACCTCATACACAAAACTTAGACAAACAGGTTAATTTACTCAAAGGACAAGTCAGTTTCACATATTTTCTTCAGAGAAGCAGGATGAAAATGCAGATCAACCCAGCTGAATCAATG